TTACATTGGTTCAAGCTAACAAATAATATATTTCTTTTCGAACTCCACAGCTTTGCAAGTCCAACAAGTGGGTTTTGTCACTTGCACAGACTTGCACGGATTTCTGCTACTTTTGGTAACTATTAAGGTACGTGTCACTTTGCCAAGCCACCCCAAAATCTTTGTGTCGTCCTGCAACTCCCCCTGCCAATGAATTGAAGACACCTTCTATTTACTGATCAAAAGTACATTACTCATCAGGCACGTGTTCTATATAAAGAAATAATTATATAATAGATATTTAACTGAAGTGGCAAAAATCTTCAGGAAAAAATTCAAAAATTCACCAAATTGCATTTCTGTACATTTGGTACCAAAAAAAAAAGTTTTTTTTTTTTGGAAATAACTCACTCGAATCTCAATATTTTAAAAAATCAAAAACATACTTTTGTAGGTTAGATTAAGCTGAATATATCTATGTGGCTCAAATTTGCATTTTTGGGATACTGAGTGTCGTATTTCGCCATCATCGTTTGCATCCAAATTGGGTTAGTCTGTCGCGTCACACTATGTCGAGTTTATACTTTCCTTACCTTACTTATTTTATTTTATTTTATTTTGACTTAGAATTTTTTTTACTATTTAAGTCTAGTATTAAGTACAGTTAGGGAGAAAAGCTCAAAAGGTACCTAATTAGAGGGACTACAAGGGTCTTGTACACCCTCTAATTAGGCCCCTTACAGTATGTCCCTCAGGTGGTTCAAGCCAGGAAGTGTGAGAAAACTGACCATAAATGGAATGCCTACCTCGGCTACCGATCTAATATTTCTCGATCTGCTGGACCGCGTACGCGCAGATCTTCGTCCACAACGCCGAGGTTCAGCAGAGAGGTCTCCAGCAACTCTGCCACTTGCCGTCATCTAGCTGCCTTCTCATACAGTCGACGTTCTACAGGCTGCGTCCAGGGCTAACGTGAGTGATTGCTTTGTTCTCCGGATCGATGCATCTGACGGTGCATGTCGACTGCATTTACTCTATAGGCGCCTGTCACGGTACTCTACTTATTTGAACCTATTGCTCGGGATCTTGCTCTCTTTAAAGAAGCTTGTATCTCATTCTGTAGGCTCGGAAATCGACGAAGACGTCTACCATTATGCCTGCTGCATCTGCTGTCAAGACTGGAAAGCAGCCAGCAAGGTCGCCGCCTGTGAGGACGGAGAGTGCTGCGCCTGTATCTAATCACGTCAATGGAGTCGCAGCAGGCGGTGGTAAGAAGAAGAAAAAGAGGAGAGGAAAGGCAAAGAGCGTGTCCAATGCGACAAACGGGGTGACCGTACATGATGACATCGACGAGGATGTGGCCGACATGCCTGAACTCGAATCGTACAAACTGCCCGCATCTTTCGCACACACACGGAGAGGACTCTCTCCCGATCTCGAATCTGTACACTTATCAACGACTGCATCCCTCACAGAGAAGACGCGGCAGGCGATGGAGTACCACAATGCAACCGCAGGTGCTAACATAAAGCTATCAGACTCGCACGCAGAACTGCTGGCCGACTTGTATCGTAAAGTTGGGTTCGATGCTGCGAATGCGGTCGAGGACGAGGTGAGAAAGAGTCTCGACGCGCTTCCGGATGTGCGGAACTTCATGCAGAATGCGCTCGCAAACCTAGCATTGAATGCGACCGCGGAAGAGGTAAAGCAACGCATCGCGCAACACATGGAGCAGAGTGGCGCTCAGAGAACAGGTAGGAATGGGAATGACCTCCAGTCAATAGATCCGGATGCGCTGTCAAAGCTCGCGATAGAGCAGGCACTCGAGCGCATTATGTCTGGGAAGCCACCTACTGGTCCTGACGGAGTTGCAGGAAGGACCCAATTCCATACAAATGTCATGTTCTCCCGCGAATTTTCAGACGAGGGTGAGGCCGTGTTTGACGATGGGGTTGGGAGTGAGGAAGAGCTGGATGAGAGATATGAGACGGTTGGGTATGCAGATGTTGACACCAAGGCATATCCACAGGACTGGCTGAATGCTGGTGTCGACGGCCTGTATAGTGATTTTAACGAGGCCGTGGTGCCGGGAGCATATCCGCCTTCGGAAGATCAGCCGGAAATTTTTGACGGGATGCCGGAAAAGAAAACCAAAAGGAGGGGGAAGCCGGATGCCCCACCTCCCGATGCGGCAACTGTGACTAACAAGCGTTTGAGTCCGAAATCCTCTGCGCCTCTAAACCAGTTACCCAATGCCATGTCCCCAGCCCGCAATGCACCCCCGCCATCATCCAGAGCTGCCGGCAAACAACCGATGTCATATCCGCCGTCGGCGCCTGCAGCGACAACGACGACGACAACAGGAGCACCGCCGCGGTCTGCTCGTGCGGCTGCAAAGGCTCCTGCTCCCCCTCAGACCTACGCAAATCATTCGCACCCGCATCACAATCCATCGCCTCCAGCTTCAAATGTCTCTGGACCGCAAAAACACCGACCTCCTGGGAGCTCAGCCGCTGGCACAACCTCCAAATCAAATAGCAAGATATGGAATACTAACACCGCAGAGGAGCGTGAGCGCATCAAGGAGTTCTGGCTCGGTCTTCCCGAAGAGGAGCGGCGTGCACTTGTCGAAATCGAGAAGGAAACGGTGCTTAAAAGGATGAAGGAGCAGCAGAAGCATAGTTGTACTTGTGCTGTATGTGGGAGGAAGCGGTTCGTCGTCATCATTGTCCTTCACTTGTGAAAATTTTTGCTGACTGTAACACGCCTTTCTCCGAAATGTGCATTTGACGGCCACCGCAATTCGCAAAAATTCTTGATTCGATCTCTTTCTGTTGTTGGATGTAGGCATGCTATTGAGGAAGAACTCGAGGTACTGTACGATGCTTATTACGAAGAGCTAGAACAGTACGCGAATTACCAGCAGCGTTATGCCTCTTCCGGTGGTACTATACCTCCTCCACCAGGTCCTGGCCCGTTTCCGGGCAGTGTTGAGCTCGACAAAGACGGACTTCCTGTTGGCCCCAGAAGGGCACACGTACATTCCCACCATCCTTCGGCCCGTGATAAGTATACACTTACAAATGGCCCGAAGAAGGATATTGTTCCTGGATCCGAGTTCGATGAGGACGATGTCCCAGATGCAGAGGAAATTGACTATGAGGAAGGGGATGAAGACGAGGAGGAAGAGGAGGACGAGGAGGACGAAGAAGATCCTAACGGAAAAGCAAACGGTCGAAACGACCTCTTTAGCTTTGGGAGTAGCTTGGCCGTCACAGGCGAGTTTTCTCTTATTGATCATCTACGCTGACTCATACTTTGCATTTCTGCCTTGATTTGCTTGATTTTCACGACAGGTCCCGGGAATATACTGACAGTTGCAGATGATCTTCTCAAGAATGACGGACAGAAGTTCTTGGAGATGATGGAGCAACTTGCCGAACGTCGGATGCAACGCGAGGATGATGCCGCCAGGTATGTAGAGGATGACAGTGAAGATGAGGAGGACGAGGAAGGTGATGAGGAGGATGTCGATGAGGAGGACGATGAAGATGAGGAGGACGATGAGGAGGAAGAGGTATTTGCAATATTCCTCATTCTACTTCATGATCGCACTGAATTTCGCATCAGGTATTGACAGAGGAGCAGAAGATACAAGAGGGCAAGCGCATGTTCTCGATCTTTGCAGCACGCATGTTTGAAGCACGTGTGTTGAGTGCGTATCGCGAGAAGATTGCCCGGGAGCGCCAAATGCAACTTTTGCAAGAGCTGGAAGAGGAGGAGACAGCACGGAGTAAGAGGGAGGCCAAGAAAGCAAAGGAGAACCAGAAGAGGAAAGACAAGAAGAGGTATGCCATGATCCTGAGCATTTTCCATACACTTGATTAGGACATATTCTGATCTCGTGACAATTCAATGAAGGCAACAGAAGATGGCAAAGGAAGAGGAAAAGGCTGCAAAAGCAGCGGAGCGTGCTGCTGAAGAGGCTGCGGTTCGGGAGCGACAGAAGAAGCTGGAGGAGGAACAGCGGAAGAAACGGGAGGAAGAGCGAGTGAAGAGGGAGGCCGCGAGAAAGGCTGCTGAGGAGGAGAGGCAGCGGAGGGAGGAGGAACGCCGGAAACGCATGGCAGAGGAGAAGGAACTACAGGCAGAGCGTGACCGTAAGCGTAAAGAGAAGGAGGAGAGACTGAAAGCTGAGCGGAGGGAGCGTGAGGAGAAAGAACGTAAGGCAAGGGAGGAGAAAGAAGCCAGGCAAGCTGCAGAGAAAGCTGTGGAGAAAGCCAAGAGGGAGCGACAGGAAAAAGAAGAACGTGAAAGGCGGTTGGCAAAGGAGAAAGAGGAGCAGGCAGAGCGGGATGCCAAGGAGCGTCAGGCTCGAGAGCAACAACAGGCTCGTGCTGCTGCTGCGAAGTCGACTCGTCCTCCGTCCTCACCACATGCCAATGCCACGGCTTCTGGTTCCCGACAGCAGCAGCAGAATTCCGCGTCGGCACAGAAGAAGATTCTGAACAAGCCCTCGGGTCAGACTGCGGCTCCTGGTCCTTCTGCGCCTGTGTCTGCCCCTATGCAGTTGAACCGACAGCCGTCACGCCCAATAGTGGCGACGGTTCAGACACCTCTGTCGTCTCAATCGTCTCAATCGTCCCTGTCTTCTCCAACGGTGCCTGTTAACATGCCACCTACAACTCCTACTTTCCCTCAGAATCCATCAGGCGGGATGCCTCCAGCTATGATGTCTCCTCAGCGAGCGCCCTTCCCTCCTGCGACGGCAATGCCGGGCTATGCTGGATATCTTCCGCAGGCGCCGAATCCGATTGGTCCTTCTGCTATTCGTACCTTTGGTGGTGGTCCTCCATTCGAAACTGGGCTTGGCAGAGGATTGGGTCCTGCTGCATCTATTGGAGTGTCACCTATTGGGCCACCGTCCAAGGTCGGCGTGCTTAATACCCCCACGTCACCTGTTTTGGCACCAGGAGTACCAATACCTAACCGTCGCGCCTCCAGCGCAGCAGACCCTGGCCCTATAACACGTCCTCCTGCTTCTACAGCAAACATCACACCCATTGCACCCATCGGGCGCCCGAACGGGATGAATGGCGACACCTCGAGTTCCGCTCCGGGTTCAGGAGGCGCCTCGCCGAGCAGAGCCTCACCGAGTTCAGAACCGCGTCTTGGATCAGCTGCTCTCATTGCTGAGGATGATGAAGTCGTTCCCACACATAGAGGGCGGGTAGTCGGCCCTGGACCAGTTGGTCAACACGTATGGCACAGTCCGCGCAGTTCTGTTGCCACTGCAACGTCTTGGTCAAACGCATCAATGTCGCAAGGGTTTTCTCCAGCGTCTCTGCGTTCTGCGCCTGGGAACCTTGTAGGTATGGGTCTTTGGGGACCAGGACCTGGTAATCCACCTCCAACTGGCCCAATGAATGACTGGCAAGCACCTGGTTCTCCGTTCTTTGGGGCTCCGCCGCCCTTCATGCATCATAGTCAATCAACAGCAACTCCACCACCACATAGCACTGGTAACTGACATTGCATCAGACTGGTCAGCGCAGTCGCACGTGTGCAACTGCTGACTCGTTCTGGACCTTCGTAGCCAATTTCCTAACCACTCTGTACTTGCCCCTATCTTGTCCTTCTTTACACAAATATTTAGCTTGTTCTTTAGTTTTGCCCATAACAGCTCTTATTTCTCAACTGCAGAATTGACAAAGCGCTCATAAGAATATTTCCACATGTTCCGAATCAATAAAATTATGTTAAACATTACAGGTAAAAAAATGGTGGGTAGTAGTAGTGCTAGTGAGCGAACATATGTGAGAGTCCCCCGATGAAGTGAGATCTACTAAGGCTATAATAATTTACTTGATGTTGAAGGTCGAACGCGGCTGCGGATGAGTTTGTAGAGGTATAGAGGGAACGCGCTAACTGCCACGATCAAGCCTACTTTCCATGCGAATCGAACGGTCGTCACAAAAGCGAGATCTGCAACGAGAGAAATAGATGAGTAACCTGCGGGTCCGTGCATAAGACGGTACAACAAACCGAAGTATTCCGGTAGGAAGAACATGCTAACAGCGTATATCAATAGCGTAACGATCTCCGAAAGCACCATGTACACATGCCTAGATCCAGACCCCAGGGTGATATTGATTAGTCTTCTCAAAGCGTACAACCAGACACGTTAGGGGAACGCGGGACTTACCATGTCGTTATTTCGACGGCTACCATAATTAACTCATTCAATACGAGTGCCGTGAACGAAATTGATACGATGTTGAGAAACTCGGTCTCAAATAGTAACAGGGACATGATCATAATAGCTCCGCCTTTAATTTCCCGGACCAAAAGTCAGATCATTTGCGTTGCGTCGTGCCTATGACCTAAGAAGGCACATTGGCTAGACCGACTCACCTTGGTAAACGCTGATCATGAGCCACATGAAGAACGTCTTAAATGAAAGTGATCGACCCTATTCACGCAAAAAGAAATATGAATACCGCGAAAAGCCCACTGTGAGAAGTCATTAGACGCGCAAACTGACCTTTACGAGCTCCTTGTATAATTCGGGGTACAAAAGTGCAACGTCCTCGTTCACGTCGCGGTCCAGAACGAGCGAGAACACGGGTGCCATTGTGTAAATTGTCGCGTAGCCGGCCAGGAGCCAGCCCTGGTACAGTGCTATGGGTGCGAAGTAGAAGATCGCGGAGAACACGCATTGCATGATGGAGATTACGAGACCACGGTGAATCACGAATTGTGCAAGCTTGGCAGACCGCTTGTACGAGTTCCGGCCATGCCAGAGCAAGAGTTTGGTCAGGTGGCTAAACTGCGTGACGGAGAAATCTGCAGCTAGCGAAGCCTGTTTGCCCTCCTTTCCAACAATGCCAACACCTAAAACGAAAGTTGAGCTGATTTGCCCGGCTAGCAGCAAAGTGCTTTGAAATATCTTACCGACGTCTGAAGCCTGGATCATGCTCACGTCGTTTCCACCATCCCCAATGCAGCAGACTCGCTTTTTGGTGTGTTTTCGTATTAACCTTGCGATGTCTGCCTTTTGAGTTGGCGAACAACGGCAAGCAACAACAGCAGAAAGCTTAGTCGCGATTTCAATAAACTCGTTCTTGAAGATGTTTAAGCACACTTGTAGCGACTCTCCGTCGATGACTAAACAACAGTCGGGCTTCGCCTGGAGGAAATCCAATTGATGTTTCACCTCGTCCGAATTTTTCACTAAAAGTGATCAAGCTCAATACAGACACTTGAGCGTGCGAACGTCGACTCACGCTTAGCGACCTGATGTATATACTGATTTCGTGCGACAAGCTTCGTTGATATCGCAATACAAGTTGCCGTTTCGATTTTGTCGCCAGTCAACATCCAGATCTTAATTCCCGCATTACGGAGTAGCTCGATCGTCAGCTTGACATCGTCTTGTAGCTTGTCTTCGACGCCGGTCAGCCCTAAAAGCTCCAAATCATGTTCCAGAAACTCCGCAGCCACATCCGCCATGGCTTCGTTCCTATTCTGCAATTGAACACTGGCTTCATGATAGCGGTCTTTGAATGTAGTGTATGCCTCTTCACTAAGTCGTTTCCTGCCGATTACAAGTGTCCGGAGACCCTCGCGTGCCATGTTCGCGCATTCCTCTTCAAGCCAGTCATTGCGTTGAACGATCTTCGCCATCACAACATCTGCTCCCTTCTGTAAGAAAATTACCTCGCCGGATGTTATTTCCCGAACAAGTATGCCCATGCGCTTTGATTCTGACGTGAATGGGAAAATATCTAACACCTCGAACTCTAGGTGCGCTCCTTCCGGTGTTTGTAAAGTCATATGGGTGCGATCGCGAAAGACGAGCGTGAGTCCAACTGATTCAGTCCATCTGACAATAGCCACCTCATCTGGCGAGGATGCCTGGTAGGTCACAGTACCATCGTCATTTGTAACGGGAGTAACCTGAGCAAGGTTCAATCAAGTGTACTCTAAAGATGCATTTTCTCATACATACATTGTGGCAAAGCGCGAGACTAGTGACAACGTCCTTTACCCTTGAAGACATGTCGCGCCGGCCTCTTGTGGAAAATTGAATGCCGGTTGGAGTGGTTCCTTTCCGAAGCGAAGCTAGGAAGTCCCTTATTGGCCGGTAATTGGGGTAATGAAATTACGAGGCTTACCTTGTTCAGCACTCAGCCCAAAGGCAAGAGCAAGTTGATGGGCGACTTCGTCCATTGAGTCAGAGCCATACGACATAGTCCCCATATGTAACTTCTTGAGCTCCATCTCTACGTTCGACCTTGGTTAGCGATTTAATACAAAGGAAGGGGATAGTGACAGACCATTTTGCGTCAATGTCCCTGTCTTGTCGCTTAGGAGGTATTCTATGCGTCCCAGTTCTTCAGGCAGGGTACTGGTCCTGACGATTGTGTTCGGAATCTCATTATCCGTCATGATGAGATGCGAGTACACCGTCTTCCCCATGTCCAGATTTACCCGAAGGCTAATGCCAGGATTAATTCTCTCAATAATTATACTTGAATAACGTTCGACTGACCTGATAGGAATAATGGAAGAAAATAGAATAAGAAACCTGAAAACGTAAATATACCACTGGCCACGGAACCCGTTCAGTGCCACCATGGCAATGGATAGTGCGAAGGTTACTGTGCAAAGGATCTTAGCAAGACGGTTGATCTCTATCTCGAGCAAGCCAGTCTTCGTTTCGGGGTGACTAGTATTCATAACGGCGCGGGTTTCGGAACCAGTGTAGATCACTAAACCGATAGCAGATCCTGCTGCGAGAACTGTATTCGACCACAAGACGTTCTCAACAGTAAGAGGTTCAACTTTGGGGACCGGGCCAAGAGGTACACCTTCAGAGAGGTGGTCAGCGGGTGGATTGTTGATGGAAAATGTCCCAATGAAAGTGTGGATGTCCTTTATCGGACTATCAGCTACAAGCCAACTGATTAGTCTACGCGTCGAACCTTGAAACGAGAGACAAACCGTAGATCTCTGCGTCTAATCGTAACAAATCCTTGTCAGACCGTAGTTTCTGACAGGTGGGCACAGCAACACGCAGCTTCCAATCCGTTTCACCGTCAAGTTGATCAGTACGTATGAAACAGGTGCCACTAGCGTCTGACGTCCGCAAAAGGACCATATCTGCAGGGACGCGTTGATTCTTCTCAAGAAAAACAAGGTCCCCAACACGGATTTTTGAGCTTGGAACAGCTCGAGTGTGAGGCCCCGTGGAAGTGTTTAACGGTGCGTCCGGGTTGGTAACGTCATCGTCATTCTCGGGCAAGTCATCGTGAGAGCTTTGGGGAGAAGAAGTAGGTTCCAGAATGAGATATTTAGTAGAATTGGCTTCTTTGTCTCGCAGGTGACGTTTATAGTCATCGTACGCCTCTTTGCCCATCGTGACGGTTAGGACAAATGCCAATGGCGCGATGTACGTGACAAGGAGTCCTAGGCAGAGCCTTAATCGTGGACATTCAGTGTGTGCATGAGCACTTACCAATTCTCAGTTGTGGAACAAATTGGGACAGTGCGACAAGTAGAAAGTACAAGTTGAAGAAGAATTTGAATTGTTCATATAGAACAATGGGCAAGAATGTAAAGACGTTATACTTTTGGTTGCGGACAATATTTGCAGGAAATTTGCTTTGAAATTTATCTATAGTTGTCATGAAGGAGTTGACTCTCTTAGTTGAGCGGAGGAGACTTACCCGGCGGTCGAAATGGTATAGTTCGTGACTTGTCCTTCTGCCCACTAGGAAGAATGCCTAAACTTGATTTCGAACTTGTGCTTGGCTGTAGATATTCTTAAGCCAATAAATATTGAACCAGGAAAAGTAATACTGACCGAACGAGGAATTTCTGAGGTCTGTGGTCTTCGCTGAAGGGCACGCTCCATATCATACGTCTCTTCACGCTCTTGATTTCCGAGAAGTGTTTCTTCTTCGTCGTGATAATCTTCAAATTTCAACGCCGAAGGGCGAGCAGGCCTCTTGCCCTTGTATGCGGCGGCAGCAACTCTAGTTGACATTGGCATTCTGTCGTCTGCCGTTCCTGAACCGTTCGCTGCCCTGATTTCTTCTTCTGTATCGTCTCCAGCTTGGAGTTGTGTGTAGCCCTCTCTGGAATGCTTGTTTCTACCAAGAGGTTTAAGGGGTATATCAGGCATAGAATGCCAAGGCTGCGTTCAGTCTCCACGTCGCGAGCAGTATTGAGTGTCGCCAGAGAAGAGATTAGGGTATAAGTTAAAGCTAGATAGCAAGCTCAAGTAGCTATAAGCAGCAAACAAGAGTTGTTCTTTGCGCAGCGTGCTCGTGGCTCTTGCTAGCTGCCTCAACTCCTCGTCGTCGAGCGTGTCGCACGGTGAGAGTCCGGATATGGTTTAAAGTTCTCACAAGTATTAAAATCACGTGCGCGATATCTCGGTCTGGCATCCCTGGACGGACACTGGTATAATTTACAGCCACCACCACTTGCGATTTACGAAGGGGACACTACGATACTTACGATCAAACTTTTCTAAAATTCAGAATTGCCTCCTCGATAAGTCCTCGTATGTTTTCGTGACATGCCAGATCACCAGTTGTCAGAGGTGAGCAATTGAACAACTACGCGTCTCGAGGCCCTGGAACGCGGTGCGCGTTAGCCATCCTCTATCGAAACACGTCCTTTTTTCCCTTTGGATTCTGTTGATAATCTTGCAGCTAACTATTTTGTGTCCCATTTGATTAAGCAGCTAGCGGTTCCCGATTGATCTTGGGATAGATAGTAGGACTGGGAAGCGTAGATGAACAGCAGCTACACACCTCGTTGCAAACATGCATCGTTCCCGTTCGATAGGTGGAATTAGATCCAACTATGATGACGTTTGAACACGTTACCCACTCGACGTATGTTGCGCCAAATGCCTGTTTTTTGAGTATTAGGACAACTTGGGTTTCCTCCCTTGGATTGCATCCTGCCGATCATCACTGGCTCGTGAAGATCCGGAGTTGCCAGACTGCTCCTCCTCCGTCATCCGACAAGATATCTTGCCGATCGCACGTGCATATTCTCTGGTTCCTAGTCGTTCTTGCTCTTCTCGAACGATGTGAGTATTTTGTCTCGGCGATACCACCGATTTGGAAAGTCTGGACAGTCGGAGTCTTTGCCTCCATATGCCGCATTTCGGGTTGGTGCGAGCATCAGAAGGACGGAAGTACGTATGAGGGCTAATTATACATCCGAACATTGCTCATTGTGTCGACATTTCCTCATAGCACACCGTCGTACAATGCGCCTTGGAACTTCGCCGCCGACTTCACAGCTGCTTATTGATAGTTTAGTGAACCTTCTTATTTCCGAAACACCGATGAAGTCGGTCGTCTGATGAAACGCTAAACCAATATTATCGCTCAAGCATCTCACACAAGCTATTCACGAATGTGTCATGTGGAGGTAGCCTTGTTATCTGCAGCCATATAACTGCATATCTATTGAAGCTCGTTCTAGATGACGAGCGAAAGTGACTTCGAGGGCATGGGGACCATTGAGCAGTGCACATCTGACTCTACCTTATCTTTGGTGTCTCACAGGCCCTTCAACGCCCCAGTTCGTTTGTTGGAGCTGAGGTCCCTTCCCGACGTTACGGCACGGCAAAAGACAAAATGTGCAGCGGTGTCACTTGGTCATTTGCGAGTCGTGTCCAGACACTGGGGTCTATTCCTGATACCCTACGAAGCATGCACTGAATAATGCAGCATTACAGTCGAATACGAATAAGGTTATTTGCAAGAACAGATGTGCTACTCTATTTTTTGTACTTTAGCTGGATATACTTGGTGGTCTTGTCCTGTTGGCATGCATGTAAGAACTCATGCAAAATACCAGCCGAACTGTGAAGCTACTGTCCCTGAACTACTCGACATAGAACAGAAAAGTTGTCTCAAGGGGCTCTGGTCTGCTTTCCATATTTACAGAGCTCGCGGTAACAGCATGGATCACGCGAAGACATGGACAGTTAGGGTGAGCGCACACTTGTTGCTGTGTCCATGGCATTCTCCATTGTATTTTACAGGGGCTTTTGATCCATGAAGTTTTGTAGTTTGGATCGTCAAGAATCTGTGTATGACAACTTGTAGGCACAATTCTGGCGCACAGACGCCGTATAAATTTCAAGAGGCCTGTATAGGAGGAGCATCATGCCTAATTCAGCGACTCGCGTTTTGCGAAGGTCGTGTTGTGTCTATTTGAAAGGCCATGAATCTGCTAGCCGGCGACATACACGAGTTTGATGATCCGGTAGTGATTGAATGCTTTATGGTAACCGAGCGCCAGCCCACGATCTTACGCTGCACGCGCCGCATCTTCTTTGAGCTTATCCAATACCTGGAATCGTGCCTTGTCGTCCATCATGCACGAGTAAACGGTGAGGTTCGTAATGCCAAAGAGATGGAAGAAATTGAACAAGCATCTGACCTTTGCACTCCGGCTCTGGCTTAACTCCTTGGCGCCAGTAGAGGCTCATTCCCGCTCTCCGACCGTATCGTCCGTTCACTCAGTGTAGGGGATCTCCATGTTTGTAATTCCTTCGTGAGTTGCTGATACGCCACTAATTCATTGCTCTCCGTTGGCGCTGATAGGCCGTGTGCGGGGCTGTGTATTCAACAATTCTCTTTACGACATTCCGTCCCAATACAGTATACAAACATAGGACGTGAAAATCATATGCGTCGCAGTACTCCGACGAACACACTCAAACAGAGTTTCGCATCATTTTTGGTGGTGTCGGGTACAGGCTCCGAACATCCGAGCCATTAAGGGAAATGCCGATGTAGATCAGGTGACATGGTACACCTCCGAAGAAGCCCGTCGGTAGCCGCTCCGAGTCTCCCGCGCGATTTGTTACTCCACTTTGCGGTGTTGGGAGCGACATTTACGCATTCGTCGCTAGGGTCGTGCACAGGAAGAGAGTTGCTGGTTGTGACGGCAGGCACCATATATTTTACGTGCTAGCCTTGGAACTTTGGATTTTGATGTGATCCGAGGCTTTTATCCTGCACAGGTCTCTATTTCTTTCTGATGTTCTCGGACTAGCATGGATTTTCCTTTTGTGAGCATTACTTTTGCTGCGTTACTTTTCTGGGAAAGATTGGATTGATTGTTTATGCAGAAAGCAGGTGGAATACGAGAAGAAAGGATTGACCGATGTGAACCAAATCTCCGTTTCAACTTTGCTAGATTCTCTTGCTACGTTTTGGTCTAGACGTATACTCAGAAGACACCAAAGAGCAAGAGAAGAAAAACATTGCGACGGAAGCAAAAAGGGGCCAAATGCAGCCTCAATGGAACAATGAAGCTCTCGACGATCATCTCGGAATCCAATGCACTGCTCTTGTGCGGTGGACAAATACATCTACAATGCAAAGGTAAATAATTGTTTTATTTTGAGCGGAAAGTACAGATCTGGTGTCAACCAAAGTTGGCCTAGCATGAACGAATCGAGTCGAAATGAATTGTAATGAGCGGATACAGGAAATGCAATAAGTATCGGCGATGTGGAGGCGACCTCCGACAGGGCTCACGAATAATAAGCCCTTCATGAATTGAATTGGCTCGGGTACGGGGAAGAAGGACTCATCTCAGCAGTCGAACAAAAAAAAGCGAAGTGGGAGAGCACGGGAACCAAGCCAATATAAGACGAAGGACGAAGGGGCGAAATGAAAAGCGAAATGAAAATTCCCGATGATGGCATGAGAATTGGATGGAACCTATTTGGGCGGAGAAACTCCGCCTCGAGATACGTGGAGGATCTTAGACTTAGTTTAGGTGAGTATGTTCCTTTCTTTGGTTGAGAGAAACGAAAGCTGCGGTGGCATTGTGAATGGTGGAGACAACTGATAGGACTAAACAAAGGTAAACATCGAAGTGATGGTTCTTCAAGAGGAGAAATCGCCTAGTCTTATCACTCAAGCGCTCACTTGACCAGTCAGGAATTAACAAGAATCCATTATTATTACGAACCGCCTGACTTAACCCACATATGGCCGCGGCTCCAACAAGCTCTCACTCCCAGCCGCTCATCCCATGGACTAGCACTCCGCAATTATTTGCGGTACAAGACAAGAGTACACGAGAATACGATGGTGCATCCAAGTTAGCAATATATAGGTAAATTAAAAAATCCGGCTCATCGGGAATCTATGTAAATTCCTGGCCAGCTCGCCCTTCTTCAACTTCGTGGTTCTCGGTGAACTCACGGAGAATAACTTGCTTATCTCATTATTACGAGTCCACGAAGGGCGCGTATACGAAACTCTGAAGCTGTTGCGTATGAATTTTACCTTTTCTTTCATTTTTACAGGGACACAGGTGTAATACCGGTCCTTCGCAACTCGTAAGGATTCTCGGAAGTTAATACTGGTGTACCTTCGAGGATGATACGTCGTTGCGGAAGGTAACGAGATGACTCGAATCAAAGCGAGAAGAAAGAAGACTGTCCGTACTTAGTATCTGGGAACCCGGATGCATACATACTGCATGAACCTTGTACTGCAGTGTGAAAAGGTGAGGCAAGGGCAAGTCAGGAGCGGGAGAAAGAAAGAACGGGAGGTCGGGAGAACGAGAAGGTGCTTCGAGAATCTGCACTAAGCCATCCTCGGGTGTCCTAAGGAGTAAAGGGATATGTGCATTTGAATTGAGCTGTAATACATGGATCATAGAAATCATTAGAAGCACGGGAAGCACAGGAAGTCATAATCACGAGGAAGTACTAGTCCTTAGGTCCTAGGCGCTCCTTATCCCTTATGTGCGAGTGAACAAGAAACCAAAGAATGCAAGACGAGTAGAAGAGTGTTATGTTGTTATGGTAAACTAGGTAAGAGCTCCTGGGAGGATAAGAGGACAAGTACACAGAAAGACAAACATATAGACATCACTAATATGCATGCTGATTGGCATGTGTACGTACACCTCATATGCACGATACCCGCGCTTCGACTCGTAGAGTCGTACAACACTTATAGACCACGAGTAACGCGTGAGTTTGCGAAAATTAAGTTCATACTTACTTGACTTCTTTCTTTCTTTCTCTACCCTAGCTGTTTACCCTACCCTGAGCTACCGAAGCGAAGTGACACACACAGATCTGTCTAGGAAGTCCGAACTCCGCCTTGATGATAGTAGTAGTATGACGGATAGAGGGTAGCATAGGTCCGCGAGCGCTTCTTGCACCATCTCTGTCTCGTTCGGCGATTATTGTTGTGGGATCTGATTTTCATTTCTAGTTTCGTTTAGTTGGAGGATGATGGGTGGGTGGAAGGTTGAGAACAGGTTCTTCTGTTTCTTGCACAGCAATGACAGCACTAGTTGCGATCAATCCTAGTACACAGAGTGTCAAAGCCCATCAAAGTATCATGGGTGATATGTGTTTTGTGATGCGGGGATGTAACATAAATAAATATTATAATAAAAGTTGTAAGTAACAAAAACTGCGTGCATATATGCCACCGACATCATGAACCGGCAGCATACATAGCTCCTCAACTCAAAAGATACAGGCGTAAAATACAACGTACTAAAAATAACTAAAAAAATAAGTACAGGCAGGCGAGTTAACGAATACGGAGCACTGGTCTGGATGGAGAGATCTAGACTGGAGGACATCGGCGAGAGTGCATAGGTCACGTTGGAGGGTGTACGATGATAGCACAGGAAAACTGATGAGGGTTCTGAGTGAGCACTGGACTCACTTGACTTGTAAGGGGGTACAAGCGCGCGAAGGTCTAGGGAAAAAACGAAGACTGGCTGGGAAGCGTGATGGGATGCTGGAGTCCTGGACCGGGGGACTTTGCGTTCATTTCGCCCATTTGGCTGGCGAAAGCGAGATACGGAATCCGTCGGATGGGTACCCATGAGACTTCTTTTGCATGAGTGCATCTTGTACCAACCTGACTCGGTCGGCAGAGTTGATTTGAGTTGGGTTGAGCGTGGTGGCTGAGAGTTGTATACAGTAATACAGTAATGAGAATAAGAACGTGCGTGCGTGCGTAGAGACGGAGACTGACGGACTGACGTCGGCGAAATCGCGCGGGGACACTTTACCTTGCTTGGTTGGCTGGCTTAGTGAAGTGAATACTGAATTACTGAATATTGGCTCAGTGGGCCGGATGATTTCAATGGAACTGGGCAGTGGGATCATTGGAAGGCGCCAGATGCGTGGACACCCGAGGCGGGTTCTCAATCTGCGTTGCGGATGATGATGATGATGGTCTTGTTCTTTGTACGAGGGGAAGAACCTTCGAGGTTCAAGACGGCTACTGGGAGTTATTCTTGTTTTTTTCTTACGCTCTTACGCGACTCGACTCTATCTGTACTATGGTTCGTTGGTTTCGGCTAACGGCCAACTGAGGAGGTTTGATGCGATTTGTGGATGAATTTATTTTTCCTTTCTTTCAAATTCTTGCTTGTGCGAGTAGCCCTGTAGTCCTGATGACCAGCTGCCTAGCGTAGAGCCCCACCTCGTTTCCTTCCTTCATTTTCGCGGTTTCCAACGTACATTTGTTTCTGTACGTGTTTCGAACCACTTCTACGTGCACGGGAAATTTGCAGTGCTCCAACACGCATGCATATATGCCATTGTACTTTTATTTGCTGAGTGCGAGGGAAAGAAACACAAAAAAGAAGAAATGCAAGGTGGGTGTATGCATGTGGATGATGTGCATGCAGTGCGAAGAGGGCGTTGTTGAGAGACAGAGATAGACAGAGAGAATTTATTATTATTTGAGATTGGGCACGTTGTGAATAACGAGAATAAGGCAGGATATGGTTAGTATGGACGAGTGCCGAGATGGAGAGAGGGAAATGAAAATCGAAGGCGATGGGGATATACACAGGAACAGGAAAGAGACGAAACGTGGGCGGCCAGCGTTTCCGGCTATTAGGTCCTTATTACATACGCAGTCCACTTGTGCCTACTAAACTCCTCCCGCCCACTGCCCCCCTCACTGCTCTCCTCCTAGTACTTTAGCTCCCCCTCCTCCCTTCCCTCTTTCCAGTCCTTGCCCCCGCCACGACTGCTGCGACGAACACACACGACTGGTTTCGACGCAGCGTCCGCCATGCCCTCCTCCATTCTCAACCTCAAGTTCAAGGTGAGCATTCTCTGCCCAGCCACCTGCTTTCCAGCTCCCGCGCGTGCTTGTGATTGGCTGACACACCGCATATAGGGCAACAAGTCCTTCGTCGCTTTCAGCAACCTCGGCGACAGCGACGCACTCACAAAGACATGGAAGGTCTGAATATAGCTCTCCCTATCTTATCCCGATGCACGTCACTCATGCACGGATGTATTTCTACGTAGGTGTGCACCAAGGTCGCGAGCTACCTCGAACAGGGTCAGCGACTCGAGAACCTCAGCTGGCGGCTCTGGCATCTCCAGACCGTCATTGTCGACACAGACAATGCTAAATCCAAGCGTGAATTCAAGAAGCTCTCCAAGAATATGGGCGACAAGCTCGACAAGGAGAAGGGCCGGTGCGTCTCTTTACTTTTAGCCACTCTCGTCATTTTTTCCTTGAAAGCGCATTTTTCGCGTGAATTTCAACCCTCAACCCACCCACATGCTAACTTGCTTACCTTTTTTCTCTCTCCTATGACGCCTGTTCGCCTCTGATCAAATCCTGTGCACGCGCTCATCACCGTGGGTGTTCGTCGCTATCGCTCTCGTCGTTCCGGTCACGTCGGCTCGTCTTCCTTTGCGCGTTGTATGCGGGCTTCTCTCCTTCGGCCGTCGGCTCCGGACCCGAATGACGATCATTGCCCGCAGCGCAATCGAGGAGCTCGAGGCGCCCGACTTCAAGCTCAACCAGGCTGCGGAGAAGCTGCGGCAGCGCGCGGAAGAAAGAGAGCGCTCACGATACGAGTCCGCGACACAAGGATCAGGCCGTCCGCTTAAGCGCATGCAATTTACCTTCGCGGTTGACCAGCCTGCTGGTTCCTTCCATGACGCACCTGGCCCGCTCAGCGGTGTCCGCAAGCCTGACTTGAAGCCAAGCAGCCAGTTCCGGGACACAGTCCACCGACGGCGTCCCGCGACACGCGCAAGTGCTGCGCATGCCGAGAATGATCAAGGGCAGAGCACGCATGCCCAGGACAAGGAATATGAAAAGGATCCCCCGAGCCTGACGGACCTTGGCCGCAAGCCTACTCCTCCGCCCGACTTCTCGCCTGACACGAATTCCTATGCACAATGGTCCCACGATAGTAATTCCGTTGCCGACAATAATCACTCGGCGACGATACGCTTCCCGACGCTCTTTACTTCGGACTTTGGTCCATCTGCGCTGCTGTTCACTCAGCCGTCGTTGGTCACTTCTTTGTCGTATGGCGAAGACGCAGCAACGGTGCGTGATCGTGAGGCCTTCCAGATTGCCCGCCCGACCATCGAGCTCCCTCTTGACGAAATCCTAAAGGAAATGTCGCGTGCTGAGTATGAACGTGAACCGCAGAGCCCCGACGAGTGGAGCAGCCCACAGTCGAACAGCGCAATCGACATTGATATGAAGAATGTTTTGGACACACAGGAGAATCTCCCGTCCACAATCCACCCTGCGCAAGTCTCCTCGAACACTGTTTCTACACCGACGCCCTCCGTAGGAGGACGCTCAGGCAAGCCTTCGTTGACCGTGCGCACCAGCTCCTCTCGTTCGAACCCTCTCAGTGCCAGCGTAACGAGTGCGACTGCCTCTACTTCTCGCAACTCAGACGGCTCCGGCTCAACCGCTCCGGGCGGCGTCAAGGCAGAATGTAGCAACTGCGGCGCAACGCACACTCCTCTCTGGCGCAGAGGCCTTAATGACGAGCTAAACTGCAACGCTTGCGGACTCTACTGCAAACTGGTTTGTTTCTTGCATTTTCTCGATATAATTATAAACTGATTTGTTTCGATTTACAGCACAAAAAGCCGCGCCCCAAGAGCATGCGCAACCAGCACGGAGAAGGTCGGCAGCAATCTGCACCGCGCAATGATAACTCGGACGCTATGGGCGAGCCCGGTAAACTCTGATTCGTCTTACTCATGTTCTGCAAAGTTCTAATCAATTGGTTTACAAAAATATCAGCTCAATGCTATAACTGCCATACTACGACCACGCCTCTCTGGCGTAAGGATGACGAAGGCAAGACGGTTTGCAATGCGTAAGTGCTTCTATCGCGCGGTTTTGAATGTGAAGTGACGACTGATTGCTGCTTTGTCTTCTTTACGACTTTCCTCGGGGAAATAGATGCGGACTCTAGTGAGTACCTGTTCTCCATTGACTTCGCTATACCACTTCTCGAATCATGGTTATGCTGTCGTCATGCACGTTTCTTCATCTCACGATCTGCGTGTTGTCTTCCAACTTTACTCATTACTCACCCCTTGCTTCGTAGCTTTAAACTTCACGGCTCATCCCGACCCATCTCCATGAAGTCCGACATCATCCGCAAGAGGTCTCGTCATGACGCACGTCGTGTAGGTTCTGGGGAGACACCCTCTGCCTCCCCAGGTGCTTCGCGCCGGCCTTCACCTTCGTCTGGTGGTTCGGGCGAGAGGCAATCTCCGACGCTTGCACCGGATAGCTCAACCGCCCAGCCAGCATATAGCTTCAGTCCAGAAGACTATGACTTCGCGAGCTCTGCTTCTGCGGGAGTGAACACGTCGGATTTCGGTACCGGTGGCATGGGCATAGGCACCGCCAGCATCTTCTCTTCTAATGGCCACTATGACACAAGCAACCTCATGTTTTCACAGCCGTCATTCCCTGGTCCATACCACCCTGATTACCTTCAGCGCCCGTTTATTTTTGGCGAAGATGGCAATGGGAACTATAATTCAAATGTGCAGCATGGCCAGGACGAAGAGGACCGGATGAGCAAGCGCCGACGCATGAGCATTGACTCCGCGAGTGAGCCACCGTCTTCAACGACATCTTATTCCTCCTACCCTACCGAGGCTTCATCTGCGACGACTGCGAGTCGGTCTTCTTTCGATTTCGGCCTCGGCTATGGTAGTGGCAGCGGAGCTTCGACGTTCGGGTACTCGTTCAGTTCGAGCTCAGGTGGAAGTCTTCGCGCGCAGGACGCGTATTGGCATCCGCCAATGATGCCGCAGCAGCCAGACAAGTCTCCAGCTTTCCCTGTGCATCCACCGATGCTTCCTTCCGAAGATACCTCTATGACAGTTTCAGGCGGCCACAAGGATTTCCCAATGGACTTCTTGCACCCACCGATGATGTCTAACAACATCAATGCCTCCGGAGGAAGAGAAGACGAACGGGATTTCCTTTCGAGCTATTTGCACCCACCTATGGTTGCTAATGGAGATGACTCGCCGATGTCGCAGCTCAGCGCGCTGCACCCGCCGATGAAGACGTCCCATGACAACTATTATTCGCAACACCAGAGACAGGACCAGCAACAGCATAATAGCTACCAGCAACACCAAGCTCAGCAGGCTTATCATCAGCGCCAGGCGGAACAACAACAACAACATGAGCAGAATGTCGCCCGCTCGTACCGACAGCAACTGAAGGATGAGCACGAGCAGCGGCAGCAACAGCGTTTCTACGAGCAATACGGGTCCGTTCATTAATCGTGTGCGGAGCGCTCTACTTATACTTACTAGGCTCTCGGGACTTGGTTCCTCACACTGGCGGCGGGACTACTGAAAGTGAGGGTGATTTGGTTGAGGATTATGTTCGCTTGATTGGATGCGCTTTGAGCTGAGCTCGGGCTGCTGAGATCGCGACTCCTCCCGATTGTCCGTGCTTGATGAAGATTCATCTTGCCTGGTGTACATGCCATGCATGTATTGCTGGTGCCTCTTCAAGACCTTTTCTCCCCTATTATCCAATTGGAAGTTCTTCAAGCTTTTTTTTTGTTTTTGTTTTCTTTATTCCATTTTTCGTTCTGGTTTATATCCTCCTTTTCCCTCTTAGCTCAATTGCGATGCTCTCATTATTTCTTTTTTCAGACATCTCCCTCATCTTTTCGTGCGTTGATTTCAGATTACATCCTTACTCACGCCCACATTTGAACAGTCCCCACATAGGATTCCCTTTTTTCTCTTGCGTGGCAAGTCGTCACGATTTCTCATTTCTGCTCTCAGCCATAACGACGTCATCGCCATAAACCACTTGCTCACCGGCACACTGCAATGTTAACGTAGACGGGCCTCTGCCTCTGCCCTTTGCTGACTTGTCTTTCTGTTTACGACATACCGTCTTGCTTCTATTGCTATCGCTCTTGCTTTGTCCGTCTTCTGTCCGTCTGTCGATGTAGCGTTGATCTTTCCTTTTTCTTCATTTTCCTTTCCCTTTCGTTTCGTTTTCTTCCCTCCATCGCGTTTTCTTTTTCGTTTCTCTGAAGCCCTCGTCCACTTCCCATGGCTGGAATTCCTTATCATCTGCATTGCTTTGCTTTCTCATTCGGAATCTCTTCACTATTTTTTCTTTACGACGCGCGCCTCTCCACTTTTAAATGAAGCACATGTTCACGCATGCATCAGATGTTCATATTCACTGCCGTCTCCTTTCTCTTCTTCCTTCGTCTTCCATCCGTCTTTTTACTTCCTGTCTTCGCCGTTGCTCCACATACTTCCCGTTTCTCTCGACAAAGTCCCAAACTCCGAATCAAACTCCCTTTCTTATCTTGTTTCCCGTCTCCCGTCTCCTGTCTCCGCTTTCTCTTCTCTCTTCTCCGACCTCTCCGTCTCTCCGTTCCCCCAAACCTCCGTCGTACCTATCTATACGATTACGTGTACACCCCAGCGAAGGGCTTCGCTTTTAAGCCCCACAAATGAATGTCATTTTTATTTTGTTTATTCATTCTCTATGTTTGGAATTTTTTTTGGAGTGGAATATTCACTTGACTCGTGACTGCGTAAAAAAATGTGTCGTCATAGTCGACTTGTCCTGACTCCTTTGTAAAAAGTACATTAAAATAACATTTCATTTTATTACCGTCCTTTTATCACAAGTAAGAAAATGCTTGGGTATTATAAGGAAATTATATCTGAACTTTTACAAGAAATTATTGAGATTTGAGGAACACGTAGTTGTGCTTCACCAATATGACAAAAGTAACATTTTATTATGTAACATAATAAATATTAAGTTTGGGAGCACGTGCTTTTGACGCGCTCGTGACACGTCTGATCCTTTGTTTCCTTCTGCCACTGATGTTCTATTCCCTCACCTACCAACTTCTCTGGACTCATTATCCGGGAGAAATCCTTCTCCTTACTCGGCCCGAGCGGAGCGTTGGAGATGAATCCCATGACCTGATTCGACATGTACAACTATAATCCGCTGCTCCGCTGTAACGCCTTTTTGTTGTGTAAAACATATGTTCCTATGTTCCGAGGAGCTGGACGGCTGGGGACGCTATCGGTGCAGAACGGAATACGGAATACAAAATACGGAATACGGAATGTAAGACACGGCGTTCGTGGGATGAGCGACTTTTCCTTTCAGTGATATGAAGAACGAATGACTTGGTGGATGGGTAGGTAGAGCGGACGGATTGGCGTTATAAAATTAAAAATAGGAACTATGCAGGCCAGGATGCCGTTTCTTAACATTGTGCTGGTCTGTTGGTGGCTCTGTCTTTCTGCCTCTCTTATCGTTGGACCTCGATCTCGACATAAATCGTCGTGACGGCAAGGTGAGTCGGAAGGTGCTTTCAGAGTTCACAAGGACAACAAAAAGGTTCTCCCGGTCTGCTGCATGTTTCCTGGAGCTTCGTGTTCCCGCGCCTAGGGTATTTATCTTCCTCTCATCTTCTCTTCGCTCGTTTGGGGGTAAACGCTTCTGGCCTACCTGGCTGTGGGGTCTGGCCGTTCCGACTGATTGAGCAGACAAACCGTCTATTAGCTGCTCCTTTCCCGTATTGCTCGTTTGTGCACACGCGAACGTTCAGGAGTCTCGTTCGGCTGGTCTCGTCTGATCTAGAGTGCTGGAGGTTACGGCTACTGCCTCGGCATCCTTGTGGAAATTTTTTGGTGTCCTGTACGACCGTATAATTGATATCGATCCCTCTCGAGGGAAGCCCTTGATACTTGCTGGTCTACTACTATAATCTGTGGACATGCCTATGCTAAAGTTGACTGGACGGCCGCTCATAGTGGCGATTAACCTTGTTGCCGGGCTCGCTATTTTCTTGTACGTCCTTCTCGTCATTCATTTCTTCAAATGTCCGTATCTCGTCCTGTTTGCTTTACACCATTTCACCGTTCCGAGTTCCCTGCTCCTTTCACTTTCATTCCTAATATTGCCTAGCATCGAAGTCCTCTTGTCCAAGTGACTGGTGAATGATGAACTGACCACGCGTTATTCATTTCCGAAAATATCACTCGACCACTTTATATGCCGGATTTGAATTGGATTGGGCTCATACCCGAATGCGTCGTATCTCTCGCTTGGGTTCTGGAATCTGCGTTATGGTGAATCCGGACGTCTGAACTCTGGTCTGGGGTATGCGGTGGCATGAATAGCTTCGGGTATGACCAGGGCATGATGTCGGGGGTGAATACCTCTCCGGACTATGTGGAAAGAATGAAAATTGGGCATTCGATGTGAGTATTTTCTTCCTAGACAACCTCTCCTAGTCCCCTGGGTCTCGGATTTCTCTTCGCACTTAATAACTTTGTTCTTCTCTATTTCTCATTGTGTTCCTCAACTTCTTCCTCTCATCTTCTTCATTTCTCCGTTTCATATTCATGTGTGCTTGTGCTACTGCCCCAGTTGGTGGTGCTCAATCTAACCAAACTCATTCTATTCTTCTGTGGAACCACCTCTTCTTGCTCGGAATTTCGTTTAATCTCCCAATTTATGCAGATATGAGGGTCCGTCGGAGGGATTCGTTGCCGTAATAACGGATCCTACGAAACAAGGCGGGATCGTCAGTAGTACGTATTTACTTTTATTTTACTTCTACTTCTTTCTCTCTTTTGTGCTCGAGAGAGAGAGAAGTATGTATGGGTAGCGAAATTCACGCTTCGGCTTTTGATTTGGACTTTTATAGTATATTATTTTGGAACGCTCATTGGTGCACTTTGGGCCGGTGCTGTGGGTGATAGGTACGTTGTTCCTCTCATTCTGAGATTTTTTGCCGAATAGAACTTGTTCGATTAATGACTTGTCGTCGTTTCTGTGCCTTTGCCGGAAAAGAATTGGCCGAATTAAGACGATGTTTATTGTACGTACCAGGGAAACCTACACGAGATGCATTGTAATTGACGACGATCAATTTTTCCTCTCCCGTGACAATAGGGTGGATTATGGATTCTGCTTGGAGCGTCATTACAGTACGTATGAAGATTGTTCATTAAACCGTATCTCATTGTTAATTTCTTGTTATAGAACGTCAGCTCAAAATACTGCTTGGTGAGCAAGCTCTCTACGGTATTCAATTTGTCCGTGAACCCCACATTAATATGTGGGTGCATTGCTACACTAGGATGTGCTGCGCACGGGTTATTAATGGTATTGGCACCGGATACCTCAATGTGATTGTTCCCGTTTGGAGTGCAGAGGTAAACCTTACATCTCTCTTCCCTCGTACATATAACTGTTCCACACGTAAAAATATACCTTATTGACTCCGATTTGTTGACTCTCTTTGTCTTCCATTTTCTTTTCATTAATTATTTTTACTTTTGATGAGGTTGCGAGCCATACGACTCGAGGCGCGGTGATCGCGTTTGAGTTCACGCTGAACATTCTTGGTGTTGTCATTGCGTATTGGCTTGAGTTTGGGCTTTCGTTCGTTGGAGATGGGCGGACGCAGATTCGGTGGAGGGTACGCGTCATGTTGTCGCTTCAGAATTTCGCGACGACTTACAAGATAATTTACTATGATATTCCAGCTGCCGATAGCCTTCCAGATCCTACCGATGCTGTTTTTCATGGTAGTAATCTGGATCATGCCCGAATCACCTCGTAAGGCGCCAAACTTCACAACTTCTTCCATCCAATGCCTTTTCTAATCGTAAATATCCATACTAGGCTGGCTGGCAAAAGTCGGACGTACGGATGAAGCACTCACGATTCTGGGTAACTTGCGTGCAAACGGAAACAAATCAGACCCAGTCGTCGAGAGTGAATTTGGTGATATTCTCGAGGTTGTACAGCTTGAGAAGGAGAATGCTGGCCGGAGCTCGTATTGGTCTATGTTCTGGGGCCTTGGATGGGGTGATTTGCATGTGGCGAGGAGGATCCAGTTGAGTGTTTGGTTGCAGATTGTTCAGGAGTGAGTAGATTTTTCTTTCTAATACACTGGTCGGATTGTATACAAGTGATTCTGATCTGATGATATTGATGTTGTAGGTGGGTCGGGATCGCGGCTGTTACTGTCTATGCTCCAACTATGTTCGCACAGGCTGGGTACAGCAGTAGGAAGTCTGAGTGGCTTTCCGGGGTCAATACGGTTCGTCCATCTCGTTTAATCCTTACGCTCCCCTCTCCACTCAATTCTTCAAACAAACGGAAAATAGATAACTTATTGCCTAAGTACACTCGTTGCCATTCTGACGATCGACCGATTTGGACGACGTTGGGGCCTCTGGGTGGGTGCAGTGGTGCAAGGCATAGCTATGTTCCTCGCTGGAGCATTTTCGAGATTGACAATTGAGCATCCGGAGATGAAGGCCCAGTTTGGTGCTGCGGGGGCATTTTTTATTTTCTTGTATACGTTCACGTTTGGAGCGACGTGGTTGACGATTCCGTGGGTCTATCCGGTACGTCGATTCCCCTTAGAGCGACTGAATAAGTTCAATAAATATATACTTACTTAATTTAATCATCTTCAACAGACTGAGACTTTCCCGCTCGAAGTCCGAGCAAAAGGCATGGCCTGGGGTGTCTTCGGTTGGAGCATCGGGAACGGGTGGCTTACGCTCCTCAATCCGGTGATGTTCTCGCGTATTGCGGAGAATACGCTACATGTCTTTGGCGCGGTGAATTTCCTGTCGATCCCAATGGTGTGGGCGTTTTATCCTGAGACGGCGAACCGGACGTTGGAGGAGGTGGATTTGTTGTTTGCGAGTGAGAGTCCGTTTGCGTGGGAGAATGAGAGGTGTTTTAGGGAGTTGAAGGAGAGTGGGATGAGGTTGAGTCACCATGCCGGTGTAAGTGGAGGAGACGTGATAGAGAAGGGCGAGGAGAAGAATGAAGTGTAGGTGTCAGCCTGAGTAGATGCTTGAGCTGTACAACTGTGTTTGTGTAGAACTTACCTTGGCATACTCATGAATGTAAATAGAATAATGGATGACCTTTCACGAATTATCTAGTTTGAGCTGTGATGTGGGGAGCAGGTGGCACAGGTGTTATTTGCCAACAGTACAGATTATGCGAAGAGTGCGATAGTTCGACAATGGACGTTCTTCGGATGAGAATAGAACATAATCCCTTGGGTTATGTAATTGATTGCTCTATCTGACATTCGGACAGGAGAGAAACAAGTGCTTTCACTATTAGTATTAGGCATCCGATCAATCCTTGAATGTAATACTAATTGGAGTTGAACTGCAGTATAGACATTTGTTCATTGTACAAAGAGATATCCCAGCGTCAATTTGACTTTCAAGTGGTTGCAGCTGCTATCCAATATGCCATCCAAAGAGGTTATTTGACAGCTATGCTTCAGGTATAAAGGTGCTATTTTTGGCGAACTTGGAAGAGCAGTTCACTGTTCAAGTCGACCCTCATTCCTCATTGTACTCTCAACTCTGTGCCGAGATAAATTAAGGACGTAGGGAAGAAAGACTTGACATAAGCATTTAGAAATGACGACCAACATTACCCATATCTTGATGTACCCAACCATCTTCAAGGACCGAGAGGGAACTAATGGAAATGGGAACACAGCTTCTTGTGGGGAGAAGGGATGTATGAAGGAGGTGCTTGAAGCTCTTGAAAGTGCTGACGGGTGGATTAGGTACATCAGTCTCTTTATTCCACTTTATGCTGTGTTTGTTTGTTGAAGAGACGAGAACTTCCGTTGATGGACATTGGAACATAGAGCGTACAATGGGAAGCAAGTAATGGACGACAAGTTCGGGTGCTGGGTGTTCGGTATGTTGCGATATACAACATTAATCTTTTTTCAATGCTAATTGGATTATCAGATTGGCAAAGCACATCGCACCGCGAGGCATTCCTAACTAAAGAAGCGCACGCACCTCTCCTCTCTTTACTTCGCAAACCAACGGAGTCTTCCAACTCTGAGCTCGGTGTCAACGACGCTGGGAAGGGGAAGTCGAGCTGTGTACGTTCCGTTCAAGTCGGATTGGACCCGCCTCATGCGCCGTTGGCTTTCGGAGCACCCGTTACGGAAATCGCTGTTAGCACGTTACGAGATAGCATCAATATGGATGCATACGAGGCGTTGATGAGACGCGTCGTAGATGTCATTGGACAAATGGAAGGAGTGCAAGGTGTTGGGTGGGGAAAGGTTATCAGTGACGCCAATGATAATTGTAACGATGATACGGGGAAGGTGCAATACGTCCTTGTAGTTGGTTGGGGATCCGCTGAGGTGAGTAGAACAGTATTCCTGGAAGTAACATTGCAGCGTCAGAGTTTATCACTTCACTTCTTATCAATAGGCTCGTGCTACTGCTGCCACAAAGCCGGACGTGTTAGAGCTGTACAAGGAGTCTGGTGGATTCGCTGAATATGAAACCAGGGTGTTCCAGTTGGAGAAACATGAGACCGAGGTCGGAATAATCCCCCAATAGTTTACTTTCTTGTACAGTCATGGTACAGCAAAAATGTTGCTAGCTCGCCGTATTAGAATTCCACATGGAAGCAGGAGTACTTGCTAAGTGCGAAACCATAGCATTCCAGTAAAAGAATCGCGAGAGCCAACTTTCGGAATAGTTAATCCAGAGAGGTTTGTTGAACACTCTTGTCTTTTGAACTAACAAGATGTTACAAGATGCAGTATCTGGACGTCGCTCTCAAATGAGGTCATCTCGAGTTATACGAGTCTTCTATGACCGCCCCTTGGCAAATCAATTTTGAGCACGTTCGTGAACTTTACGAGACGTGAGCTATGTGATGCGCTCGATCAATAGGTTCAAATGAACAACTCAACAATATATTAGCAAAATGACCTCGTCGTCCATGACACCTTCGTGGGTTAATATCGGTTGAACCGAGAGGTTATCATTGAGACAGTGATGATAAGTGCACGTCATCAACGGTGCCGAGTCTTCCTTCTCGCCTGGCAACGAGGTCGAAGTAGAGTTTGAGGTCCTGCCCGGATTTCGTGATCTGCTCTTCGGGCATGTATGGCGATAGCGCGGAAATGAAGAACTGTAAAACTTCTTTGTTACGGTGCCGGAACCGGGTTATGAGTCACTTTTTACTTTCTTGATAGTAGGTTCATGACGTCGTAAGACGCGCGGCAAGATGTAGTCGTGTAGAGCGCAGAATATTTTACACAGTGACACAAGCGCTGGCAGGTGAAAAGTATAACGATTACGCAGGGTATCTCCGAGCTAGCTTGAAAAGTGGTACTTTCGCGATCTGATGCAGGGCATCTCGTGAGCTCAGCCTCATGTTTTGTTGTTCCTGTCATGGATAGGCTTAGCTGCTTAGCCTCAGGTAAACTCTGGTTGGGGCAACTTTCATTCCTGATCCGACAGGCAGCTGCGTTTTCACTGCATATTGATTTGCAGCCGATTAAAATTCCCGCTCATCAATACCGCTCTCTCAACTGTGTTGAGAACGACGAGATGAGCCTTCTGCTGAATGGTCTTCTGGCCTTTACCACAGTCGAGCTGCATCGTGTTGTTCTGGAACCACGTTTTGTACCCGGTGCCAGTTTCGTTATCGATGGACATGCATCATTTGAATACCGAATGAAATGGGAGTGATCAGTGTGGTAAAGGTTCTAATTCTGGTGGAGTAGAAAAAGAAAATGGGAAAGACGGAATCGGAGAGGATAGGCGGCTTCCGAATATGGCGAGGACGGGCGTTTAAAAAATGATCTGTGGTTTATGTGAGAAAAAACTTCTGGTTCAACACGGACCATGACATGCTCATTGCCGGACGATGATTAATAGCAATCTCAGCCCTGCTCCCGGACCTGTGCTACTGCTGCGCTGTCGCATGCTCTTGGGAGACCCAAGGGAAGCGCGAATAGGGAAGACGACGCACGCGGTCGACTTGTGACCAGAGTCTATCTGCGCCCGTAGGATTAATTTTGAACAAGGCTCTGCAGCTCATATCGCCCTTTCAAGTCCACGCCGCGCGATCACGCTCCCTGTTTCTCCCAGTCGCGCTTCGCGTCTTCCCGTTGCCCTTGATTTGCCCTACGTCGGCAGCGTGGCAGCTCCTCTTCTCTCTTTTTCGCCTCTCTCCGCTGCTGTGCTCCCGTGTTGTTTGAATTGTCCGCACTTGCTTTGTCTCCGCTACGGCCCAGAGCAATCTTTAGACGATTGTAGCTGGAAGGCCTCGTCTGTTCACAATAAAACAACTGTTGCATAAAAGCCAACGCTGCCGTTCAACACTGTCCAAGTACCCAGATCTGCATGCAAGAACAACAAACTACAATGGAAGTTCCCGTGTTGTGCTGGTGTTGCACTATCAATCCCAGCATTACAGAAGAGGTATGTTCCACTGTCTACAAAGCTCTGTCATTCATATTGAACTCTTTCTGGCCTCGTGTAGGAATATATGGCATGCTACAATGCCGTGCTTGAAGCCTGGCCAGACACTCCTTTTGCACAACGGCTAAAGGACATGCCACGAAATTATGATACACTGAGTAAGGGTCATGTAATTGTTCCTGATGTAAACTGAAAGAAAACTGCTACGTCAGGAGAAATGCTAACTCACATAATCCCGCTTCTGATGATGCGTCAACAACGAATTCCGCGGAGTAAATGGGTGTTACATCAGAACGAACGAGGGAAAAAGTGGATTGAGAAGGTGCGTCTTTATTTCTCTTCAAATCTTCTATCATTAGAAGGGCGTTGTTGACACATGGTTGTCTGGCAGACCGTGGACAGCGGAGGGCATTCCGCGAGGCAACAGACTACTATGATGACAGGGTTCACGACGGCATACGATTACAATATTGTAGTATTGGCTGCTTGCCAAGGGAAACGTAGTCATGTCGTCAACATTGGTCTTGGTGTAAAACGGCTCTCGGCAGATGGCGTTCCTGTGCAACAATGGGCGCAGTCGCAGCAGCACAAGGTAATGCGCAGTTCTCGGCTTTTCCCTAACAAGAGCACTTTTAACGTCTTCCCGCCCCGGCAGCTTACACAACGGGAAACACAAATACTCACGGGACTTGCGGAAGATGTGCTTCTAAGCCGACTGATTATTTTGCTGACAATTAAAGAGTCGCTCATCAACGGACTTGGTCAACCTGTAGGCTTTGACCTTTCCCGAATCGAGTGCAATCCCGCTGAGAATTGGTTGCATGTTGACGGGCAGCCTCTTCTCGGGTGGGAATTCAGACTTTTTCGGTGTCAAGGAGAGGCAATAGTTGGCGAGGTCCAATACGTTGACCAATACCAAATGTGCATTGCGTTTTATCGTGGGCACAATGCTGTGAAGTTTACCTTTGTAGATAAACCGGAGGATATCGACCGATTGACACAGTATTTTCCGTTTGACCGTCTCGTGGATGTTATACCCAGATTACTTCAAGAGAGCCGTTCTAGTTGATTTCTTGCTTTTCTCTCTACATGGTATATATACAGCATGTTCATCTGTAATTTTTACACGCATTGTTTAGCAACATTCTAACCTGTGATATACAAACAGAGTATTGTTTTGAAACTTTGTTCTGACTTGCCTTGAATGACGTCTGGTTGGGTAAGACGTATTTTCGGCTATTTCCGGATCGGTCCGGCTAATATTGTTCTCCCGATCATGAGTGTTCCCGCCCACCATGCAATCATGGTCCAGTTTACCCGTGCATTGCCGGACTTTGTTCCCAAACTTCAACGTTAACTAGAATGACAATGGTAGACTGTAATGCCCAAACTGCTTTGGACATCGAAGAGGCGCGTCGAAACGCGAAGCTGAATGTTCCGGCAATACGAGCTTTTCTTCATGGTAGGCTTAGCCTTCTTGACGACTTATTTAAATGAATTGACTTAACGCATGTGTTTCCTGTAGGAGGAGAAGATGCTTGGAAAGCGCATGAGCGCGTTGAAGCTATCTTGTCAAAAGATCCGGTATTTGACAAGTCGCGAAGGTACATCTCTTGTACTTGCGAATTGTTCTCGCATGCGTATTAATTCAACATCAAAACACATACAAGGTATTATATGACGAGGAAAGAACTCTACATAAAGGCTTTGGCAATGCAGAAACGAATTGAAGAGCTTCGGGAGATACATCACTGGGATGAAAAGGATTTGTCCTTTGTACAATTGGCTCTAGACGAGGGTATGCCGATGTACCTGACCAGAATTGGTATGGAACACATTCTGTTATCCGCGTCTTCATTTTTCAGGGATGAAAACTAATGTAATGTGCTACCTCCACATAGCTTTCGAACCAGTAGTCATGTCCCAAGGCTCTGAAGAACTCAAAGCCAAGTACGGAGCTCTGATCAAACATCGTGCGATCATTGGTGCTTATTTGCAGACTGAGCTTGCGCACGGGACAAACGTCGCACAGCTCGAGACGACAGCAACGTATCTCCCTGAGGCAGAAGAGTTTGAGATTCACTCGCCTACCTTGACGAGTACGAAATGGTGGATCGGTGCTTTGGGAAAGACGGCAAATTACGGTGTCGTACAGGCGAGGTTGATACTCCCTGGTGGTAAGGATATGGGCCCACATTTGTTCTTCATCCAGCTCAGGTCATTAGGTAAATGTCCAGTGTAGAAAGTGGGAATACCTGCTTATTGACTACTTGTCTACAGATACGCATGAAGTCCTTTCTGGCATCAAAATTGGCGACATAGGTTTGATGACTGCGGTTTACGCAGCTTTATGGTTGGTTTCTCACTCAAATTTTGACAGGTCCGAAAGCAATGGGAGGACTACCAGGTCTTGACAATGGATATGCACGCTTTGATCACGTACGAATACCTCGCTCTCAAATGTTATCAAAGTTCGCGCAGGTTACCAAGGATGGGAAGTACGTTAAACCGCCACATGCAAAATTAAGTTATGGTGGTGTAAGTACCTGTTCTTCGTATTTTATTATAAGAAATTGTCTCATTTGGACGGGAAGATGTTGTATATTCGGTCAACGTACGTTGACATTCCACCCTGCTACTGAACGAATCTTTTGTCTTATCTATCCTCAGTTTGGTGACAGTTGCTGGACGCACGCTTGCGAAAGGTAGAAAACTGCCATTCATCTTGCCTTAAGTAATACCTCATTGATTATGAAAAATAATATGTAGCTGCAACTATCTCCTTACGATATGCGACTGTCCGACGACAAGGAAACAAAGGCACCGGCGATCTGGAACGCCAGGTTATAACATACCCATCAGCATATGTTCGGCTTCTACCCGTCTTATCTCGCGCATATGTCTACATACTCCTCGGGCGTAACCTTGTAAGCCATAGTCTTTCAGTATCTGAAGGACAGATATGATTGCGACTATGATATAGATCAACTCCTATTTGGAACTGTCTGGTCAACTCAGCCGTGGAGAAACGAACTCCTTGCCTGACATGCACATCATCACTAGTGGTCTCAAAGTTTTGACCTCAACTGCATGTGTGCACGGCATCGAAGTTGCACGGCGGTCCATGGGTGGCCATGGCTATAGTGCTTACGCCGGCTTGGGCAAAGTCTATGCTGAAGCCTTGCCTAGCGTCACGTCAGTCTTATCTTTCCTTCGAATCGTGGGCAGTTGACTCATGCATATGTTTTAATTAGGTATGAAGGCGATAACTTTGTATTGGACCAACAGGTTGTTCGAGCCGTTATGAAAGCGTACAACCAGGGTCCTTCGTCAGCGGGTCAAAGCACCTTCGCATTTCTTCGTCTTCTCGACAATAAATACTCTAAAACTAATAAGGCAATATTCGAGACTCTAAATTGGAAGGACTGGAAAATGGTAATAGAAATCCTCGAATGGCGAGCTGCACTTGCCGTCGAGACGCATGCAAATGCTCTAAAGGCGGGGTCGGTAGATGGGAGCTGTGATCAACGAGTGTTGCTAGCTGTCATGGATGCTTATGTTGCCACACAAGTTGGTGAGATGATTCGTTCTTTGGATCGTGCAGGTCTTGGGAGTAGTAAGGTTATAATCGAGTCGCTTCTCAGATTGGTGAGCAGCTTAGCATTGCACTACTTCAATTATCTTGTGACATTCTTACACGATCCTTTATGTGACTTTGTGATAGTATTTGCTTTCTACCGCTGAAGCAGCTCTAGTCGACCTTTTATCCTTGGGTGCCGTTCCCGCGCAATCTGAGGCTGTAGAGAAAGCACCTGTACAATCTCTTCGCCTAGAAATTACGCGACTATGCGCCGAGCTTGTCCCAGAAGCGATCAGTTTGTCTGATGCTTTTGGTTTCACGGACTGGGAGTTGGATAGGTGTGCTCACCCTTCTTTTACTTAAAGTGTCTAACTCGTTGAGCTCACTTCTTTGATTCCAGTGCGCTCGGTGTGTATGATGGTCGGGTGTACGATGCACTTTGGGCAAGGGTACAGACGGAACCGCTCAACCAGTCTGAGATCACGGAGGGGTATCAGGAATTTATTAAACCGCTTTTCGAGCGCGGTAGAGCACTTGCCAGCCGGGAAACTAAGGCGAAATTATAGACGTGTTCAAATCATTTTACCAATTTATTCCTGATATCTTGGATACCAAATTCCTAAGATTTCGTACAAGTACAAGACTGTTTTATTCTTCGTGGACTACTATCAAATTGACTCAATCACACAATCAAGGACTGCACAACGTTTTTCGGTTCGGACTACGTTGACAGCCTCAGCCATCGCTGTCTCCATTTCTGACGCCTGTGTGATACGCTTCCCCCAAGCACCACCAGCTGCCACCGCGATCTGAGAGTAATCTGGTGTTTCTGGGCCAAAACCAACCGTCAGCTGATTCCCAGATACTTTGCTACCGTGCCCTTGTGGGTAGACACCCATCATAGAAAGTTTAGGAGACTATACAAATGATCATCAGCGAATACGAAAGGCGCGTCAAAGTTTGGCGAGCATTTACTTACCCTCCAGCCTCCATTGTTTAAGATTATTGTCAAGAATGGCTATATGATGGTCTGTGATTAGCATCTGAATTGCCGTCTTGTTCAGGACTTCCGCAGCTCACCGTACTGTATCTTCTAGCAATCCAGAAGGCAGAGGCTGGCACGCCAAACAAGAACGAACCATCACCGACTACCAGTACAACAAGGTCGAGATCGTTGGATGATCCTCCATTTAGAGCTAAAGATGCACCAATGGACGCTCCTAGACCCCATCCAAGTGACGAAGAACCAGAAGTGAACATAGAACCCGGACGCTCTGGCCTCAAATGATTCCAGACAAATGGATAGTTGCTGATGCCTTCATTCAGAATCAAAGTCCGGTCAGGAACAGGAATGGAATTTCTGAGAGCGCGCATGAGGTTTGGGACGGTGAACGAGCCGTCAGCCGGTAACGTGGACTCGGCGGAATCGAGGCTAGCTTGACGCTCGAGAGACAAATACTTGAGTTCCTGGGCTCTGGTCGAGACCCGCGAGTCGTTTGATGCCATGTCACTCGGTATATGCTCTAGGATCTGCGCAAGCGCAAGCTGTGCATCTGCCTTGCATCGCATTTGTGCATCTATATGAAACATGCCCATGTTGTCTTTTAGCACATCGACATCGACGTGAAAGACTTTGGCGTCCGATCGCGGCTTGTTATGCATGGGGATGTACGGGATATCGGAGTCAATGATCAAAATCACGTCGGCGCTGCGCAGCCAATCACTAACTCCCATACCGAAAGACAGCTCAACAAAGTGCGGGTGGCTGTGCGGAAAGTTCACCATAGACGGACAAGATACGAGGACGGGAATAGCGGTGCGTTCGGAGAGTTCTATGAGCTTCACAATCGCCTTCGGGTTCCGGCCCAAATATGAAGTGATGATCAGCGGTTTCTCCGCATTCATTAGACTCTGCGCGATGGACCTAGCGGCTAATCAGAGTGTCAGCAACGATGAAGTATATGGTGGAGTGATCGTCCCTAATGACCTGATTGGCTCAAGGCACTTGGCTCTATTGGTGACCATGTTCTCACATCTATGGCCGTCTTCGCAAAATTTTCAGAAAATTCTTCCTCCATTGCCTCTCGGCGTGCCCATAGATACACTGGGCCCTTAGGTTCACTCATAGCCCTGGAATCAATCACGAAGCTCAACATGATTGGCTACATGAAGTTTGCGTACTCGACTCACAATTGGAGCCCTCGGCGGACGACCTGGCTAACGTTCCTGCCACTATTGATTTGACATGTCCAGCGCATGTATTGGCGCACGACTGCTGATTGGTCGTGGACATCTGTAAGATACAGAAGATGAGTGCGATAGGCTAGTCAAAGATCTGAACAGGAGACAACCTTGCAAGAACATAATCCATTCGTTCCTTGAACCTTTGAGTTCTCCTTCCAGAGTGAATGGAGAAGCCCCAGCATATATTAGTACTGGCACCCGACATCTGTCAACATTATGAATCGCGCCTGCCAACGCCTATAATCGTAAATCGTAAAGCTTAGGTTCACGGTACAATTGGCTGGAGGCTGAATACTTGTCTGGACTCACTTGAGTTCCGACATCAACATGCACGAATACTGCCGCAGGGCGACCAGATGCCTGAGCGAATCCCTGTGCAGCACTCAAAGCTACCATCTCATTCGGACACGTTATGATCTGCAAATCAGTCTTCCCGCTTGCTATTCGCTGGCGTTCAAGCTCCTCAAGCAATGCTGGATGGTCCGATCCCCAGTTCACGAAAGCATGCGTTATCCCGCACTGGACGGAATCAAAACGCGATTAAGGAACAGAATAAATTTAGCAGAATTAAGTGCTCCTATGAGAAATGTATGCGTACCTGTGATAAAGTATTCAGAAAGATGGACGAGGTCGTGTACATAACGCGTGTTTGATAGTCACTCGGCAACGATTGAGATGAGAGAAACGAACAAGCAACGGAGATACTTAATATCCGAATTGTTTTAGCTCCGCAGTGTATTCAAAGTCTTGCATTGCACAGTGAGATACGGAGGTCATGAGACTCAAAAGGCGATCGTTCTCTTTCGCTTAATAACGACATACACTCTCACGGTTAGTTGGAGGGCTAGACAAATAAGTGAAAGGAAGAAGGTTAGAGCGTGCTTTGAATATTGACCACCAATCATTTTCTTGTGTGCAATTTTGTTGGCCGCTCCAATCAAACGGGGCGCACCGAGTAGAAACCCAATTGCATTGAATAATCTAAAATAATCCCAGTAAGTCGTCCTGCGGCTTCTGCTCTTGCGGAGGCGACGCAACACCAGACGGTGTTGGAGTACTAAATCCAAGCGCAGGTGCAGGTGAAGATTGCACTGGCGATGTAATCCCGTTGAATTGAGTGCCGTTTGTCATTCCACCACCACCATTCGACCCGATATTCGTGCCACTGAATATCGACACAAGGTCGTCCAGTGGATTGCTCGATGTCCCGGCTAGCAGATTCGCGGCTGCGGGCGTTGAGGTTAACGTTGTTGCCGCAAGACCGGATGGTTGACCATCTTCCCCGGAGACGTCGTCGAAATCGAGGAGATTTTCCGCCTTTTGACCTGCAGCGACGGTTTGAAGAGCCTTCCGGGTTGAGAATTCGTCCTCCGTTCCTCGTCTAAGGGGCGAAGGAGACAACTAGTGAGTAACATGTGAGCAGTCGAGAGCGAGTGGACCTACTCGGCAGCCAACTTCTGCATTGCCTCCGCGCCAAAGCGTCCTTGCCCGATGAAGGTCTCTGGAGGTTTATGGTATACACTAGCAAGACTCGATATCTCATTCAGTAGCTCCTCCAGTAATGCTGGTGATACAGTTATTCGTGAAAGCGAAATGGGTGGTCTATTGGCTAAAATTACAGACTGAATAGACAAAGTGAATAACGACTATCTCATTGAAGATAGATAGATTAACGCACTTTTGCAGCGGCAGGGTCGGTCGATAACAACCTCCAGTAGATGTATGCCCTATCGCGGACATCAGGCGAATCGCATTCTTTCGTTGCTGTATCAAGGACACGCTGTACCAGCGCTTGAGAGCTGTCCGGTTTCTTCATGTACAATTTGACCACAGCCGTGAGGGTCTGTAATTGGACCTATAGAAGATAATCACATCAGACGAGGGTCTGAGGGAGTCAAGATCAAAATAGCGTACAGGATATGCCTCTTCAGTGAATGAATCGACGAAGATTCCAAGCAGTTCATCTGCGTTGTCGATTTTACTTGCATATTCACCGATGATCCAAATGAGAGAAGCCTTCGCTTCAGGCTCGTCGAGTTCATCCAGGTTTGCACATAGCGTGGGAATGACGCCCTCGTACGTAGAGGGATACTTGCGGAAAATATCCTATTGGAATGGTTCTGAGTGACTCAGTTCGCCTAGACCATCTAGGACACTAACCTTCATTACGACAACAGCCTCCTGCACAACGTAGCTTACCCGTGTTGATATCAGTTCAAGGAGCACGTTTACACAACGTTCCGCGGCTGACTCAATCTTGATAGCGGTCTGACCAATTGCACGTATACTCTTTCGGACAAAGTCGACATCCACCTCGGACGCATATCTATTTCCATACTCATTAGGAGACAAAAGAGTAATGTACACATCCCACTTACTCTTTGAGTTCACTGAGCAGAGTATCCACGTTGCTTTCGCCAGCCAATCGGACCATGATGTCCAGTTTCTCCACTTTCACGTACAATGGGTCGTTGTACTTGCAAAAGAAGACACGCATCTCGTTTGAGAGGATGTCCGAGCGTTTCTGCAATAGGAGATTGATGTTCCGGAGGGCAACCCATTGAATTTCGGGAGGCGAGGAAAGGAGCGTTACGAGAGGCGGGGCCATCTTACGAACAAATTGCCTGTTGAGGTCTTCCCGCCGCACATGTCGCATATGAATCATGACAACCTGGAGAAGTGATTAATATCCATCAGCACAAAGACTTTCATCGAACTGAAAAAGCTCCACCTTGACTGCGGCGAGCACTACACTGCCATTCACATGCTGGAACTGTGGGATGACACGCTCACAGATGTGCTCACTCTCCTGATCGTCCTGCGTCTTGTAGCGAGCCAATGCAGTCAAGATTGCCACCCTACCCCATTCTGAGCATTCATTGAGGGCAATGAGAAGCTTCTGTAATGTGTTTGGCGTTATCGTAAAGAGGGCTTTCTCTAACTCCGGAGACGGCGGAAGTGACGAGGCGGTGACATGGATGTCTGTTAACGCAGTTACGGCGTTTGCGACAACCTGGTCGTGAGGAATGAGTTTTGAGATCCGAGTTTAGGCGCTAAATGGAAGCTATACCATCGGATTACTGTCAGATACCATATCTTGCAGCTGCTCCAAAAATCCATTGTCCATAACCAATTCCGGCTTTAGGTCGTAGAGTTTTGCAACGCACAGTGCGGCCGTCTTGCGCACGTACGGATTCTCATCCCGTAAACACTTCTGGAGCGGGTCACATAGGTAATCGATGATCTTTTCTGCACGCAGACAGCCCATCGTTCGGATCGCCAGTGCACGAACAAGTGGATTAGAGTCGTCGGTATCCTTAACGAAAGTATTGACAGCTAGAATGACTAGCTCTGGTTGTGTTTTGGCGTAATTCATTAGATAGAGATACACTAGCTTCTTCTGCTCTAGGTCTTCTGTTTGCATATTTTTGAGCACATCTGGAAAAAGACCGCTGACATCTGGTAGCACATGTTAGGTTTGACTTTAATGACCACAATATGCCGCACACACACCTTTCCCGACTGTCATATTTGCGATCACTCGCTTTATAGCATCTTTGCGCTTTTCTTTGTATTCGCTATTCAGATCGGCCCTGAGCTCATAATTCTCTCCTGTGAAAGTGGGCCAGCACTGACGTTAACACCTAAATCAATCAACGAATATGGTGACATCTAACCTTTCCTAGGCGCCGTCCGAGCGGCAAAGTTCATGTTTCAATCCCTCAATTGATGCTTCTCAGTGTATTTGTAGATTATATGATAAAGAAAGTACGGAAAGAAAGAGTCTCGATTGCCTGACGAGATGAGTGTTAGAGGCTGAGATGTGGTGGCCGTGCTGCGTGGAACGCGACGCGTACAAGTCACTTGCCTCCTGCTTTCTTCAAGTTCATACCCCGTGAAAACCGTTCAAAAAACTCCCTCTTGCCCCGGTTAAATTTGAAGATCAAAAGTTACTAGGAGGGACATGCAGGAATAGTGTCTCAGGACCTTGCTGCTTCATACCTCAAAGCATTTGAATCCAACTGGTAGAGAAACTCTACACAACTATTAGATGCAACAAATACATATTGGCTTCAAGAAAATCTTGACATGGCTTCAAGGCTCGTAAAGTTAAAAAACATGGCATGGACCACCCAGGCACAATGGACAACCGAGATACGATGGAACACAGGCAATACTATCCCCGGCGAGCAGCAAGGACTCCGAGTTGACGGAGTTCACCTCTTTCGATATAAAACGGATTATTCCAATGTTCGCCTGCGGCCTATCAAATATCTAAGATTGAACCCTTCAAAGTATTCTCAAGGCGTGCCCACCTTTTCTATCTTTCCGAGATACTTTTCAAAGATATTTGGTTTTACCCGAGGCAGATTCTCTCGTGAAGAGTCTTTGGATCGGACGCACATGATTGAAGGTGAGTATAGTAAGCATCATAAATTTACTATTAAGTTCTGACCTTGTACTTGATTAGAGGACGTATACAATCTAGAATCGTGGTTTCTGCCAGCGAGTAGAGTTACGTCGGTCTCACAGGAGGCTCGCGGCGCTTGAGTATCATCGGAAACCGAGTTTCGAGGTGCTGTGACCTCTGTCGCATAATAATTTTGCGGGAACGTTTCCGAGGTCGACATGGCGTCTAATTGGTGGTATTCGCTCGCTGGAAAGTACAGGTCCTAATAATAATACCAGCGTGCGCGGCATGCTGAGACAATTTCTGACGACCATGTGGAGTGTCAGCCACACTGACAAATGCAGCATATAATAGAAGTTGGTATTCCCCAACTAACTTTATATTCCGCCGAGACAACTTGATCCATGTTTCGAACTTTTGGACTGAGTTGCGCTCCGAAGGTCTGAACAACAGCCGGATCATGGGATTGGGGCCGGACTGTTTCTTCCCGTGTCCAAAGTGAACTCGTTTCTTTCTAATTTAGAAGAAAGGCATATTTAACAAGTGTATTTTGCAGGCTGATGGGGCGGAATATTGACCGGGCCGGGACTAGAAATAGCCACATCACCGCCCAAACGAATTCAAACATCCAAGCTACTATTGACTCACGGCTTACGCTGACTTCTTCTTATTGACATGGCTGAGGATAATTTCCAACGATACTCTAGGCTCACATTTGTTAGACCACTTCTCCCTCAGCTGTCCCTGGATGTACACCATGTCAACAGACGAGCATGCCAAGGATTCGTGAAATCCACCGATACGGTTCTGTATGGAATTCCATACTGCCGATGGACGTACTACTGGTTAAATCTTCCTGGGACGATAAAGAAGTTCCCATCGCGCTTCTTCGAACTGCTTGCACGGCTTGCGTGAGAGAGCATCCGCGTTGCTATAGCCAGTCATCATGTATCAAAGATATCACCGATTCTTGCATTGAGTACTTGGACGCAGAAGAAAAATACCATGGAAAGGAATGATCTCCACCTGACCGCTCTCAATTGACGATCCTGATGTTACGCGGATGGATCCACACAGGTATCTTCTGTGTGTACTGATTCTCAAAGTGCGATCACGCTCGAAGACGGCAGCAAATAGGCGACCTGAGGCGGGGTGCGACTTCACCGTTATTACCTTTAATTGCATCGTCCCTGTGTGCAGGCTTGTATATTCGCTATTCGTACGATCTGGACGATTTTCTTTGCTCTGCGGACCATCCTTCAATCTAGCTAAATTACTCTTCAATCACTTGCTGGCTTGTCTTATCGTGGTCTGTGCTTCAGTAACGGAGCAACATTACTTTGTCAATGTCAACGCCAATACTTCCCTCTGGCATTTAGGAGTTGCAGCTCTTTCTCCCGGTAAGAGATCTTAAAGAAAACCTCTATAGTCATTACTTGCTAAGTAAATCGGATCGTCGCGAGCAGAAAAGTCAATGCTTGTTCGGTATATCTTACTATGCACGAAACACCCTCGTGGCAGAACGATGTATCTCGTAACTACGGAGCTCATTCAGTAACGTTTGACAAAACAACCTCGGGTGTTGGAGTCGGGAATATGACAAAGACTGCAGTAGAAACGATCTCCTCGTCTGCATCTAGTGCAGGGCATGGACGAGCCATCGCGGTAACTGTCGGCGTCGTACTTACTGTGTTGCCGGTGGGGATCGTTGTAATCGCCATTTTTAAGTGGTGGGTGGATCGTCGTCGAGCACGAGCACATTTGCGTGAGCCAGATATCTGGAGGTGTGAAAGCGTTGAGGCTATACATGGTATCGGTTCCGCGAGCCACGGTGAGGCCTCCTCGCCTGTCTCTCCGAATTTGAAACGTGTATCATTGAACTCTCGCCGTGTCTCTCCGTATCCTCCGACTTTAACCTTTCCACTGGTATGGCTTGATCGTAACCAATCTCAAAGTGAAACTGAAAAATACAGACATTATGAATGCACGAGCCCGGCGCGATTCTTGCCGGTACACAATTTGAGGGCATTATCGACAGTATCGCTGAGGACACTGCCTTACACGAGGGAGTTGAAGAAGGGCGGCTTTCTGTGTCGACAGTCGGTGCGACGATGGGGAGTATTGGGACGTCAGCGACGCCTTCGTTCATTAATTCGCAATCGTGGGGCGACGCAACACGAGTATCAGAAAAGTTTACTTTACGTGTAGCACATCAAGGACCTGGGGGAAGAAGACCATTACCGGATATCCCTTACACTCCATGCGTACTGGAAGAGCGATGCTGTCGCGCTTCGTCGCGGTGGTCTTGGTCCCACCATGCTACATACCACGAGGATGAGATTGGTTTACGCGATTCAGAACCCCTTCCTGCCTATTCCTCCCGACGGAGTAGAAGCAGAAGTGTGAGCACAACGCGTTCACGATCGCGGCGCTCTTCTATGTATGACCTCGGTGAACGTCGAAGAGGTGCGGGAAATGGCCCCTCGAATCTTCCAGAATATCCTTTGGAGCTTGGCAGAAAAGTTGCTCGAGCTTATCCACGGGAACCTTGTGTTCCACCCCCTCCAGGATATGACTCATGAAGACATGCGCTGTGTATTTATCGTTTTTCTTTGCCGCTAATACCTTGGCCCGTACAGGGTTCAAGTCACAAAGTTGAATCCAAGGATAGTGTCTTATTTGCTTTCCCCGGATACAGGAGTAAATGCTGCTGTAACTCCATATACCATAGATATTGTTCCCAGAGTAGCCTTTCTTCTCAGCGGAAGTTGTGACCGGGGATGTTAGCAGACAGTTTTTTCTCAAGTTGCAAGTACATGATACTGCTGTATACAAATACCACGTGATCGTGGTAATTCTATCTTGTTCCATCGGATCGTTTGTTTGTTCACTTTGGTGCTTGCTATGAACTTCCTCGGCACCTGGTTTATACTTCTCAATAGTTAATTCATTTGGCACTCTCAAGCTGGTTCTTTGGCTTTTCGGACTTAACATATCACATAATCATCGTACAGATTGCAGCTTCTCCGTATCATGAACCTCAAAAGTGCGCCGAATTATTGACCACCTTATTGATATGTCCCGATTTCCGACATACAAAGACCTATACCGGTCGCAGGGATGCAATGTGTGCGCACCTCACTTTTGATAGAAGCATTTTGAGACTAGTGGAGAACGCGGGCCTTGGGAGCTGGTTGAACCATAGCGATGATACCCCACATTTCCGCGGCCTCAAGGAGAATGACCCGGCATACGCACGCACATGCTGCCGATCACACGTATGAAGTTTTAAGTCAACACCTAGCGTATATGACGAAACTGAAAGAAAGTTTGAACCGGCAACTCGACTACTTTTCATATATGCTCGCCGCGACGGATGGTCTCGGCTTGGAATGAGTATCAATCTGGCTAGGAGAAGAAGCGCTTCTAAAGTCCGCAAACTACATATTTCTACGGTATACGATGTCTCTGTAGGGCCAGTCAGTTCTGGAATACAAACTGCCGGCCCGCCGATAGGTTGTAATTCTAATCCTGGAGCGCGATGTCCCCAATTTTTGTATTCTACTCAGTGGCTCCAACTCTCATATCCGCCGCACAGTTGCATGTTCGTGGAACATCAGGGGACATTATAAATACATCCATTTGGCGAATGGACCCGTCTTCTTCATCCTCCTGCACCGTCACGTCGAAGGGTTAGTTTTTTCTCTTCACGGGTTCTAACAGAGTGCTCACCGTCAACCCAATGACATGGCTTTCATCCATTAGTACACCGTCATACTCAAATGTCTGGTCTGATACGACTTCGACGAAGGGCAAGGATGAGTGCACGTCATTCACAAAGCAACCTTGGCGAGCAGTAACTATTTCTCCTGTAACCACTTTTACTCGATCTTGACGACGCTCAATCCCAGCTGGTGAAAGCGCTTTTCTGACGGTGGCAGAATTGTAGTCCCTGACATGTATACGACGAGGTCTGTCTCCCGTGATGTAGATCTGCCTTTGGCCAGCCACGCCTGCCATCCAGGCCGTGTCCGTTTCGTCATTGCCACTCCAGCGTGTTGATCTGGGACCCCACGAGTCCCATGGCGTTGCGACAACTTCAGTTGGAGATGATGAGCCTGATTCAGTTTTGTTGTCTGCTTCTGCGATCCGTAGGAGGTCACCGCGATGAGCGACAAAGGCGAACAGTGACACGTGGCCAACATTAGGTGCTGCGCCACCTCCTTGAATGTACATCCTGAACTGAACGATAGTCTTATCTGGATCGCAGCGCACGGGCGCAACGGCACGCTTCGATGTACCTGAAGGTGCTGAAGTCAACTGCCTATCTCTCTTCGGGGTACTTGGTCCAGGTGCTTGGCCCCGAATTGCATCTGTACGGCAGTTCATGCTGATGAGCGAGCTTCCTCGCCGCAGTGGAGGTAATGCGAGTTTGCCTATCCATCTACACGTAACAAGTCCTGCTTCCCCTTTCAAGCGCAAAAATTCGATCGCATTTTCCCGCATGTTTGTCATTATGAAGGTATCGTTAGAGAGGAAAGTCGCCCCACGGTACGTAAAGCTTCCTGAAGAAATGTGCTAAAAGGACAAGAAGCCGGAGGTCCGATTCAGTTTTTTGATTCATTGAGCACTCGTGCGCATCTGATCAATGATCCGCGTCTTACCATGATTAGCACCCCGGTCATCCAGTCGTAAACAAACAGCTCATCAGGCGTGTTAGGAGCCCTCATCCAAGTCAAAAGGACCACAAGGTATGGCCCTGCAATATCAATCGACGCAATGCACTGATTTCCTTCGATTCGATGTTCGTGGAATTGGATTATAGGCTGCTGTGCGAGTGGATGATACACTGAATTTGAGAACTTTTTCAGGTGTAACTGAAAAACATGCATATCGCCGGCGTTACTGGTAATATCGAGTCAGCATACATACGGATCGGACCTCCGGTGAGATGATATTATGCATAGGATGTACTCACGGCAGCAGGACTGACGTAAGAACAGCGAGCAAGTCATTATGTTCGAGGGAAACTCCGATATTGAGTGCTTCAACTCCCAGCGGAACATTGTTCCACCAGCTTCGTTCTTGCGATGCGGCAGATCTTGACTTCACAAGGTCATGTATGCACGTCGGTAAGTGTACATGGCGTAGGCTGCTTGTACGTATGCTGTCGGGGATTGCGCTGAGTTCTCCATAGATGTATATTCCCGCTGTTAGATCATGTATATGTGAATGGCGGTGCTCGACAGGGATTGTTACTCTCCGTTCTGGCTTAAGATCAAGGCTCTTCCAAACGGATTCCCGGCGCATTAGGTACTCTAGGCGGTCTCGAATGCCTAGTTTACTGAGCACGTTTTCATCTACCATTCCGGAAACGAAGAGGCCAACAAGATACTGAAGAAGAGTGGAATTCTCGAAGACGTCTTGTGCGAGACGGCAGACGCAGCAAAAGGCGAGAATGTCGGGAACGTCGAGATAGGCGACAATCGCCACGAGAAGCTCAGGAGGGAGGGAGAAGAAGTTCATGCTCGGAGGTGGCTTCTACATTGCCTCCCCTAGATGCATCCTTTTAACCCTTGGATTGCCAATCGCACAACGCTCCCTCAACTTGTACTCCGTGTTCAATCAATACTAATGGAGTCATCGCATTAACTATCTTGTCGAGCGACGGTCTATAGTGACGATTCGCGGCACTTCACAGTGTCCCAACATTCCACTTGACTCTGATTACGAACAGATGAACTGATCAGCCAGATCACAACGATCCTCGGGCGTTCCTCCCGGCGTACGACATGTGCCTGCTATATTTTGACTTCCTTGATGAATGCTGAGAATTTCATTGAAGGGCGAGCGTTTCACCAATGACAAAGTAACAATAGATGAATGTCGGCACGAGGTAACGAGACCGATCGATCCTCGTGGGTCCTCTCGCCGAACACGCGAGTACGAGGATAGGAACGAGCGGTTAAGGGAACCCAAGGCGCGCTGGCCTGAACTACAATTTTTTCTCGCCCATACCGGCTCATTACATAAAATCCTGCATTCTTTTGTTGTCGTGAAACTTGGCGCGGTAGGGATAAGTATTAAAGCGGAATCTCAATTCTTTTATCGAAGCCCAGTCTTGGAGGCAACACCGGTAGAGCAATACAACAAGGAGGTGTTGTGCCCCTACCCGCGTATTCCATGACAACAAATATAAACGTGGCTGATACTGATTCTCGGTGTTCTACTCTCCTATCCTGCTAGATGGCGGCATAAAAGGAACTGTTCTATGCTGTATGTTCTAACAGGGGTTGCTTCGTTCCTTGGAGCCCAGAAAAAAGCAAGCTGAAGAAGCCACGGCGCAAAGTATTCCCCAAACTTCGTAGTATCTACTCTATGACAGTACCATCTCCGGAATCAAACAATCCGAGAGAATAGGGGACGAATAACACGCAGCAACCTTTTCCAGTAAGACACAGATTTTATTAACACTACCGATTTGTGCTTCGGCGCTATTTGTTAATCCCGCGTCCAGTCCATCTCGTCTATTCAATTCTATGGCGACTACGTCTAAACTTCCCCTGGTACCCAGGCGTGTGGTGCCTTAGTGGTAGAAGAAGGCGCTGTGGCATTTATTTATCCTCTCTTGCCTTCCAATGTCAGAACAGTAACAGTAAGGTAACCGAGTCTTCTATATGATCCGTTTCTATCTCACGTGTAAGACTCCATGCATGATGTATTCGTGACCTTTTCTAAGAACAGGTAAACTCTAACGCAAAAGCCTGACTCCTATCCCTAATGGAATATGCTTTGTGAGCTGAACTTAACAATGAAAGGACCGAGATACATGTAAAGTGCGAACTCGGAGTCTAACATTCGATCTTTGGTCCCTTTGCTTTGTGAGTGTCTCCTTTCGTCAGCAGCCATAAACTTCCGTAGGCACTGCAGGCGAAACGCTGGTCCAGGCTTTCCTGTTCCGCTCACTTTATTCTCCGGGTCCCCGCAGGCGTCATACGTCAACTGAATCGTCCCTTATGGCAGAACAGGGCAAAGGTACCTGCCTCAGCAACTATCGCGGGACGCGTAATCAATTGAAGTTCGACATTATATTGACGGCGCCTGTAGCCCATGCCGTTATATTCACTATTTATAGTAGGTTCGATAAACACAGGATTTTCCGCACATGTCGTACGGTACAAACTCTCGCGACTGTCGTCACAGCTCAATCCGTAAACTTGTAACGTTGATTGATACCAAAGTGCAAGCAATTGACCTTCATGGGTCATAAACCACCTTGAGAAGAACTTCTGTACATCTCATTAATGCTGCCTAACTTCTACAAGTTAGATCTATCAATGATATTTCGCACATCGAAGATATCCCTACCTACACATGTTTGCACTTTACATTTCAGTCTCTCACGCCTGTTTCATTCCGTCGGCGAGTTGGAGCTTGTTCGGCATTGACATGCCACTGTGTGCTTCCATAAAAGTTGGGTCTTCAGAACAGTGTTTCGCTTCACAACCCTCAAATCCAAGTGCCCGTAGATACGTTCTGTCACTACGATTTGATGCTCCAATAAGTATCACAAGCTGTAGGGAACACCTGACAATCGTACCCGATAATATCCGTGTTTGCGTACATCTCATACGAACGTAATATAACTGTTTTAATTGCTCGGGCGATCGGTTTAATTGTGCGTTAAGTTCAATTGACTGCCGCCTCAGACGTGTGGATCATTATTAGCGTTGCTACTCTTTCACACTACGTCCAAGCATACATTGGCAGAGGAGAACAATGAACATCTGGCATTGGAAATGAAGCGTGTCCGGTATCCGGTACATGGAGAGAAACGGGTCGACAAGCGCTACGTGATAGTCAAATGTTTTTTTCGGTAGAACATGTCTTGGGATTGCAGAGCACTTTCAAAATGCTGTCTGGTGACTGTTTCGGCGGTGTCACAGTAATTGAGTTCAAATATCAATTTCAGGCGATAATCCATATTCCGGGCGTTTCAACTCCCCCCTCAGACTTTGACGACACTAATCTTTGATGACTGCCTCCTGAGTACGGTGTTTCTCGTTACGCGCCGCCTCGTGCTGATATTCATCCCCATTCCGCGCTTCCTGCGTGCGCGGAGCATCATCGTGCGTTTCGCTCGCATCTCCTCATCAGTCAGATCCTTCGACGATTCGGACGCCTCCGAACTGAAGGACGTAGAAGAGGCAGCCGTAGGTTTCCGCAAGAACTCTGGTCGGCGGCCTGCGATAGAGGACGACTGCGGACCCACACTATGTCGTTTCAAGCCTTTCGGAGTATGCATGCTGAAGTTTCTGACGGTTCTGGAATCCGTCGAATAGCTACTACTGGCGCGTGACATCGGCGCAGACTGCACACTTGTGGAGTGCAGCTTGCTCCGAGCCTTGATCGGCCGCCTCGTAGACAACTTCAAAGGAGCGGTATTTTCACTGGATGCAGCATGTGCAGCATGTGCACCAAGATCTTTGCCACTCGCCTTCATTCCGAGCCCGACGGCGTTAATTCCTACAGCATCATGCCCGGAATTCATATGCGATAGGCCAATGGCGTCTGCGTTCGGCCTTGTCTTCATATCGTAGAGGTCTTCATATCGTAATTCCGCTGCCAGCACATCAAACGTTGTTGACTTGCTGGGTAGAACATTACGCCAACGATTTGAACAAGAGCCATATGATTGCGAAGTTTCTGGCTTCTCCTCTTCAGGTTTCGAAGTGGAACCTGCAAGGCCGGACAAGGCGGTGTAGATGCTAGATCGAAGCGTTGCACCCCATGTATCAGGACTGCTTATTCCGTCGTCTTTGGGGGCTATTGAGTAGCCAAAGGCCGGCGTCGGTAGAGGCCGAAAGTCGTCTTCCACACCTCCAGCTTGCACCTCTTCACCCTTCTTCACGGTCGTATGTGCGACGCTCACTTGGTTCGGTCCACGCGTAGACTTGATGTTTAGCGGAGGCCATGGAGAGCTTAAGCCTTGCTCTTCGAGACCTGGGAAACGTGGCGGCACGCTAGCGTGCCGCTCGCATGGAGCTTCCAGCTCCGAGCCAATCTTCGGGTGGACAACGGCTTCGTCACCAGAACTTGGGAGGTCTCCCGACACGTAATTCTTGATCTGCAATGGACCTAATAGTCTATCTGGGCCCGTAATGGTATCACTGGTGAGTAAATGAGCAGCTACTGGTCGCATGGTGGGAGATGGATAACGCCCTGGCGAGTTGGTGATATCATTAAAGGTAGGAAGTGTTGTGGTGCCTGGCTGAGAATTAATGCGAGTTGACTCTGGAAATGGTGTCGGAAAGACTTTGGACGAATCGAAGTCGTTTATGGGCTTATCCATATATAATCCCAGTCCATACCCAAGGTCTTGATTCTCGACGTCTTCATCGTCTCGACCGCCGCCACAGCAAAGGGGCTTTTTCCGCCGAGATTTCAGCAGCCATGTTACGAACGAGATAAGACAAGCTAAAGCGACTACTGCACCGAACACAATTCCCCCGTAGAACTCAGCCGAATGACCACTTGTGTTGACGTTGGAAACTGGCGATGCGATGTTCGACGGCCGGGTTGTACCTTGTGAAGTGGGGAATGAGGAGGACAACACAGAATCTGAAGAGCTCGAAGAAGAGCCGATGGTCGGTGACGGCTGGACTGATGAGATGCTCGCTTGAGCCGAGGGGTTGCTCAAGGAAGCAGTCACTATAACAGGCACGATATCAATAATCGAGGTGGGTCCGAGCAGCAAAGTTGAGAAACCAGGAGGCCTGCTTCTATCTAATGACGGGGTCGAATGCTCTCCCGCAGATGGGTGAAGGTGCGCCTGTGCACGCGCCGTCTCTGAACTCTGGTTTTCTGAAGCACTATTTGTCTTGTTAGGTGCCGGTTGCTGTCCGTCACGTCCAACGTCGCCAATATCGCTATCTTGATTTCCAGAATCAAGAAGCATCCCTCCTTTATGCTGAAATATTATCCCGGTTCCGATTTGCCGACGAAGGTGTGGACGACCATGACGCCTGCGTCCCCGCATCGGAAAATGAATCAAAGCGCTCCAGGCGCAGACGGAAAGTCACTTGCGGAAGAAAGGGTTAGGAGACTTGTCAATGTGGACAGTCGGTGTCCTACGCAAGAAGGGAGATACAATTAACAGGATGCTATTTGATCTCAGCATAAGTTGGTCGGAAACTATTTGTGGCTGACATATGCATGTTTCCGTCGCAAGATTAGTCTGGTTTTCTATCCATCTCTTCGATATTTTCAATATTCCCAAGGATGAATAGGATTGTAGCGTTGCCTATTGGGTGCCGCTAGACTAGCTATAGTTGTTTCTGGGATTGAATGAGCGTTGAAAGACCAGGATTAAAGGATTTATGTTATGTAAAAGAGGATATCTTATTGGATTGGTTAGATAATATACAGTTACATAATGTTTACGGGCCAAACCGGGCGTGAATCACTGAATTATTTCGACAGCGCGTATTTGAACTGCTTTGCTCACTGTGAACGACGACGGACATCCATGCTAGCTGCTAGGGCGACTGTTCGACGGGCTTCAAGGCTCTCGAGGACATTTGCGATAGCTGTTGATGTTGGCGGCATCAGAGTCGCTGCTGTCGACAATGGTCAACCAACGTCAGCAGTGACTTTCCTCATCAAAGCTGGAAGCCGCTATGAACCTAAGCCTGGCCTCTCGAATGTTCTCAAAAACTTCGCTTTCAAGGTATTTTCTCTTAAGCGCCTATTAAGAAGTGTTTTCCAGCTGATTTCATATTTTATAGGGGACCTCAAAGAGGTCGGCATTAGGGACAGTTCGAGAGGCAGAGTTAGTTGGTGGTGTACTGTCTTCAAGGTTGACCAGAGAGCACCTCGCATTGACTGCAGAATTCCTTCGTGGAGACGAGTACGTTTTGCTTCCAAGTTTACTGTGTCGGCCGTAAGCTTTTTTTTTTCTGACCGAGTAGTAGAGCACTTTTCGTCGACGTCCTCTCCTCCGTTCTTTCTTCCTCGAAGTTCTCGCCTTGGGAGCTCTCCGAGTCAGTACTACCAACCGTCGAGGCGGAAACGCATGCTGCATCTCAGGATTCGGCCACGGTAGCACTTGAGCTGGCTCATGCTGTCGCATTCCACTCCGGACTCGGCTCATCCGTTTTTGCTCCGTCCCATCCTTCGGTATCCCTCGAGGATATCAAGACGTTCGCCGGCCATGTCTTTGCAAAGAATAATCTCGCTATCCTTGGTACAGGTGTTGACCAGGAGACACTTTCAAAACTCGTCGAGAGGAGCTTGAACGTGTCATCCAGTGGCTCCCCCGTTTCATCTGCTTCCTCCCAGTACTTTGGTGGTGAGACGCGTCAAACCCTTCATGGTGCCCCACAAACAGTGTTTGTCGGATTCGGAACTGCTGGTGCGGCTTCGCCTGAGCTGGCTGTACTTGCAGCGCGTCTTTCAACCACACCGTCTGTGAAATGGTCAAAGAGCCTCTCACCTCTTGCTTCCGTCATTCCTACTGGGACCACGGTGCAACCAGTCCTTCTCCCGTATTCTGACGCAACACTTTTCGGTCTACTTGCTCAGGGAGAGAGCGCATCCGCTGTTAAGGACGCTGTAGCAGCATCTGTCAAGGTCCTCAAAGACAGTGGGTCCGTTAAACCCGAGGAGCTCAAGGCGGCAATTGCCAAAGCCAAATTCACGGCTGCCAGCGCCATCGAGAGCCGCGATGGTTTCTTCTCCACGTTCGGTCCGAAGGTATTTATCTTTTTCAAAATACTGCTGTCTTGCGCCATGCGAGCCTAACGGTTGATGTCATAGTTGCTCTCGGGATCCGAGGCTTCACTGACCACTTTGTATTCCTCCCTGGATGGTGTAACGGCGGCCAACTTTAACAAAGTAAGTGTGCCAAGCCATTCTCCATGTCCGAGGAGTTGGATTCTGACATATGTTTTGTTACTTCAGGCCACTGCTAACCTCCTGAAAACGACGCCAACATTTATCGCCGTTGGCGATATAAACGCCCTTCCTTACAAGAACGATGTTGGTCTTTAATCACGCTTGCTAGAACTGGTAGACGAATATTTGTCATCTTTAGTGAAATACCAGCATAATTCAACCTCATCCCAAACCTCTGCGACTTCATGTGATAGGCGAACTGAAAGCATTTAGCATTCTTTCGAGTGTGTTGCATAAGAGTGCGTCATGCAAGGAATCAATAATCGATTAAGTTGGAGAACCAATGGTCAAAGTAATATTAATTTATAATTATAATTATTACAATACAAGGATTTCTTCGTTTGTGTAGTGTGCAAGAGCATGCAACTGGCCTAAGAGGTCATCGCCCGTATGCGCTCATGAGGCTCTTGCCACGGTACACCTAAGGGAACAAACATCGCATCAGCGTGAACAAGTATAACTGACTTCTGGAGAAGCGCGGATCACGAATCCGACTCGGGAATTACTCACCTAGAATGTGAAAAATTTGTTCTTCTGTTTCCGATGCGACAAGGTCGGCTACAGGGTATGCGGAGGCATTCATCGGGGTGTGCGGCGAGAACCAGGGCACAGTTGGGAATTTGATATAATTGGGAGTCAATGTAAAGGACACAGGAACAGTGGGTAGGGGCGGATAAACAAGGGAAGAAATAAATGAGTGGAATGTATTATGCGTGGAATTTCATCATGATCAAAACATATCATGGACTGCGTACCTGGTACCATTTTCTTTCCTCTGTGGTCACGAAGCACCCTGGTGGCTAATCCATGCTGGCTCAGAGAATATCCCATAGATTTGGCTTTTAGGCGGATTGCCCGGTTAAACTTTGTGAACAGGTAAATATCATGAGCGTTCATTGTCGTAATTGGATTCACTGTAACTTACAATGTCATCGCCCTGCATTAAACTCGCATTAGTTAGATTAATGAATTAGGAGCAAGGAGTATACCGTGTAGTAAATTAGTGCCCCTCCCCTCTCATGATAAGGGACAACAAGTATATCTAAAGATAAACTTCGTTATCATTGTTCTCAGTCCAAAGTTCTGGGACCTACCGATACGGCGCCTAGGGCTCTTGTCATCTTTGCGACAGAGCCCTCTGTAGGTCTGTTCTAGATCATTGAAATCTTCTGGGATCGCAAGGTCCTCAGTTAAAATGCCCTGTAGATGTAGTTCTTTCAATAGACGACGGAGCACTCCTAGTTTGTCTATGTTTTAGTTTCCAAACTTCGCAAAGGGGGAGGGAACTTCTCCAGACCTTGATGTGTTCGGCCATCGTCGGTCGGCCGCGTCATAAGAATGTCTATGTCACCGCATGACTTCGCACCCCTAAACATTCGAAGGTAATTGGTCAGCCTGAAAATGTCGAACAGCTGAATGTGAGTTACCTGCGATAACTACCCATTAACAGAAAGAAAAGCTTGGGGTCGATTTCTAAAGCTGCAATGCATATATCAATATACCGAATTCTATACAACCTTGATCCAGACTCGCCTATGAGTTTTACTCTGTTGAAGATTTCTTCGACCTCGCCGCGAGGAATCCTCGTATTAATATCTAAGGAAGGAATGTTAATAGCAGGTAGTCCGAAATAAAGGAATTACTGACCATCATAATACTTGAGCCCAATCTAAATAAACAACATTTTATTCAGCACGCAAATGGCAACTTCGTCGAAGTGCTTTCTCAGCGTACCTCTTGCACATCGGACACGGTTATTCCTCCTTTCCTATTCTTGACATCGTCGAGCGTTCTACATCCCATGCTGTACCACTTCTGGGCGGTACTAAGCCCTGCTACGACGTTAGTAAATATACACAGAACTTTCCCCGATATTATTCACCTACGCCGTAGATGTTATTAAAGAGCTTGATTGCCTGGACATCTTCGGTATTGTCGTATTTTATCCGTCCCAAATCACCGGTTTTGATTATTTCGACAATCTTGTAGAGATAATTCAGCGGGATATACCATAGGGTCCCGATAACCGCATCTACCTTTGCCGCAGTCTTTGATCCAATGCCTCTAATAGCGATGGCATCCTCGTAATTTCGAATTCTCTTTGGATGCGCCCTGATTGCACGGATCGCTACCATAGGGCTCACGGTCAATACATCGAATAGAGGGGATGGTATCAAAATAACGAGAATGTACATTTCCCATAGCTGAAGACTCTCCAACGTTGCTCCCGAGGATCCCCCGATATTTTAGTCCTATTGATTTCTTCAAGCTCTGAGAGCTGGCGATATATATGACGATACCTGTTAGCGAGGATCAACGGTGGGGAACACAAACACCCACCTTGTCTACGATATCTTGGTTCACACACATTCCCGGGCCAACTGGTACATTATCACAAGTCCATTTCTGCATGCCGCTGAATCAGAGAAGCGCTATGGATGTAGACAGTTCTGACTCCAATTACAGATTTTGTTCTTCCATTATCAGTGTCTGGTTCGTCGTCGTTGTCGTCGGAACTTCGGTCGCTAGTGCGCGATAACTATACAAACGGTGTAAAGCGCCAATAAAGAACGGGATATAGAATGTACCTCTCTGTCGGTTGCCGCATCTTTTCGGGCTTGATCATAAAATTCTGCAAGTGGATCATTGTCCGGCTGCGCCACGGCAGGCCCTGCGTCGTCCCGATTCTTTGACGTGGACGCATGGTCAGATTCTCTTTCATCTTTATCATCTACGATCGTAAAATCCCTGGAAACCATGTAGGTTACGCAAAGCTCTATACTATATAGAAAAACGTACTCAATGCGACTAAATTCCTGGTCCACCGGAGCTGTCGGCGGAGGTTCGGGCTCCGTGCGTCGATTATCCCTCAAACGATCAGGAGTTTTATCTGACGAAGCATCTATTCGTTCTGAGAAGGCGGCGAACCAGAATTCTGGCGAGTCTGGCGTCCCTTCTGAGACCCATTTCCATGTCAATGTGGGAATGTGCAAGGGGATTTGGCCGAGTGACTTCAACCCGAGCGCCTTCAGAGTGACTCTTGCATTCCCTTCGGTCACTATGTGAGTGATAACGTTGGGATCGTATGTCGGAACGACGGTGGCTCCTTTCTTGCGCAGCTGAAGAAAATTGTGAGAGAAAGCAGCGCCACGAACATAATGACATACAAGATCCATCCTCTTCCTCGTGGTCTGCGACGCCGTGTTATAGTCTCCGCCAATATAGAATATGGCTTTGCCACGAAGAGGTAGCTTCTCGCTAGATGTCTTCTCAAGGTAAGCTGCAAATTTTGATTGCACCCGTATTGCATATTCTCTTGGGGTCATCCTTTTCTCTTCCTCTTCCTCCTTCTTTCTCTTGATGGCTTCCTGCGCTTTTTGAACTTTCTTGGCCCTCTTTGTTTTGCGTTCAGAATCTAATGTCCGAGTCTGTTGGAGAAGTTGCGCAGCTTCAGACGACGGAGACGAAGCTTCAGGAGAGTTTGAAGGAGAAGTGATAGTGCTAAGATTAGCCGGTGTCCGTTCATCGGAGTCTGGCTCCTTTCGTTTCTTCAAGACTTTTTCCCGCAAATTCAGTCGTTGGTTCTTCGAGACTCTTGAATGTTGCTTCTTTGAAGGGCTTGGGGTATTAAACGCGTCTTGTCCCGGAAAGTGCTCAATAGCATCATTTTTATTGTCTATTTGCACATTCTCGGCACGGTCAAAAGGTGGAGCGTGTGCACGAACGGCCGACGATGACCCTCGTTCAGTACTCGATGGGAAAGAGTTTCGCAGGCTAGTACGGCTAGGCATGCTACTCTCAACAACCTCGGACAATGGAAGTCTGTCGAAGGAGTAAGAATCAAGACGTGCGTATGAAATGAGTAATCTAGATGAACAAGAGGTCCGAGGACGAACGCAACTCATGTGAGATGGCTGTAGCTTCGCGACTGACGCTGGGTCTATCGTTCCCGATGGTTTGAATGTTATAGCTAGCCCGTCTGAAATTTATTCACACACACTAGACAATAGAAAAGTTCTGAGCATACCTGCCTCCATCATCGTTAGTTAATCCGTGGAGAACTTCCTCAGAAGCGGCCAAAGATTGAAGATAGGTTGAAAATTCATGTGCTTCTCGTTCATTCTGGGAAGGACTCGCAGAGGGCCCATCTGCTTTCCACAAGTTTCTCCTAACGAACCCACGGTAACTCGTTAGTGCACATTAGCCACTTCAGTCTTAGAATTAAGAACCTCTTTGCCTGCCGTAACATTCTTGCTTCAAGTTCGTCAATGTCGCCTTCGGGCATCTCTGCAAGAGCCTGTTGTTGTTCCAGAAAGTCCTTCAGGTCATCCATTCAAATATGCAGCGGGAAAATACAAAACCCCTAGGTGATACTCTGAGTGGATTTGCTTATTGACCATTGACCAGACGAAGTGGACTATTTTGTGGTTTCAGTCAGAGAAACCAGTGGTTTGAGATCAAGTCTGGGTGTCGTCATATGACTGAGGCAGCTATTTTCTCACGATTTATAGCTCCGCTTCTGCTATTCCCATAATAAGCTACTAAGATTTTGTGCAAGAAACCTTGGATTTCTTCTCAAAGTTTTTCCCGCTTTGCATCCCTTCGCCGTTCATAGCCGACCAATTTGCAAGTAAAGCGCTGTTATCGATAGTACCGCTCTCAAAGGGTATCGGGTCTCGATTGTTCGGGTCCCAAGGCCACTTACATCGTTATTCTGGGCGATGCTGATGCATTTTAGAACACCGGCATATATACTCGGTTGACATTTCCGACACCCAACAAACAGTAATTTAGGCATGCCGATAGGTACATGAGATGCTTCCAGATGTACTCCCCCGTCTGCACCTACACCATTTCAACCAACGGAGAGGTGCGGACCTAGCCATGAATGGAAGAAGCTCTATCTCAGCGGACGGCCCTACTCCTTGTAATAGACTCAATGTGGCGTCTATTTGAGTGATGAAACAGCCGCACAAAGACAGAGTCAACCTGGTAGATACCGAATTGAGAAGTTTCTTCTCTATCCTAGTCTTTCAGACTCGAATAATAAACGCTCACTCCGAGTCTACTTTTATTCTTTTGCATAGCGCCGTCGATAAATAGCCCTTCCCGGTCCGCGTGCTTGTAACCGCATGTGGACACAAGCTCGCATCTAGAAATATGATAATCTCGTAGTGAAATTCGCGGAACGTTTATTTAATAAAAGGATTACGGCGATAGTCGATGCCGTAATGTACTTTAAGCAGTCCAACCGTCCCCAGTCCCTTTGCTCTGTCTCATCCCCCTGTTCTCTCCCTGCGATTAAACCCTGCGTATGGATCGTGGAAGTCCGAATCTCACCGGTTCAATTAATGGCACTGAGCCACCGCATGGGGAAGAATCCGACAGCGATCAGGATTCATCAAGCTCGGTGTACAGTATGTCATCCGGCGAAATTGAAAACCATTTCGTTGTAAGATATAATCGACGGTTCCATTCGCCTGGGAACGGGAACGTGCGTCTCTATCCACTTCCCGTCGATGATGCGGAAGTACAGGTAAGGATTCCTCTTGAACCTCTGCAAGCGGATGCTAGACGGTGGACCACAGAGGCTCAATCGCTCTCACGAGTTGATAAAAGAGTTGCTTGGAGGACGGAATTATTGGGGGCCACCTCCGCAGAGCTTAGTTGCACCTATCAATGCTGAACACAGGGTTCGTATCCTAGATGTTTGTACTGGTAATGGGAAGTGGTGAGTATGCACACGATCTCACCTTAATAATTACCCTTACTTGGATCACTCTAGGGTAGATGAAATGGCCGCTGAGTTTCCACAAGCAAAAGTATACGGACTTGACATTGGTGCGTTGTAACTACTACGCCCTATCATCTGACTCACCCCATATCCATCTACCAAATCTACCAGTGCCACTAGCAACTCGATATCCTGCAGAAAACGTTCAATTTGAGATTCACGATATAAACACCACGACGCGCTGGGCCGGGGGCCGGTTTGACATAGTACACACGCGGCAAATTATCTTGACTGTCAGTAATCTGCCCTCCTCAATTCCTCCGATGCCTAAAGCGGTGTTCGGTATAGCATATCCATTATCCCGCCGTCCTGCGTGAGGTGGCTAGAATCTTACGTCCGGGAGGGCTCTTCCTCGCTGGTGAATGGCTACCAGTCCTTTTCACCCTAGATGGGTCCAGAACGTCCACAACTTCAAACGGTGTGTCGGCGTTCCTTCACCTCGTTTCCGACATTGCCGGGCGACGTGGTCTTTTTCACAATACGCTAGAAATCCCGCGAATACTTATGTCAAACACCTACTTCGAAAACGTAGTTGCGGAACGGAGGGTTGTTCCCCTCGATGGCAGCACTCGGGCGGATCGCACAAAACGGGCTTTATTGGAGTTTGCAGACGCAGCGAAATACTTCCTTCGTGATTCTGGGATTTCCGCAACTCGCGTTGAAGACATCCTTCAGGCATTGCGTCGCGACCTGAACAACGCTAGCAACTTCTCCCTGATCTATCTGACTGTTCACGCTCGACGGAAGGTATATGCAGTACCGTGACTATTTAATCGCGTGTTTGGACACCAGTTGTCTCGCTCCACCTCAGGGTATTACCCAGACAATAATTACATGTAATAAGTGAAAATTATCGTAATGGGTGAATTAAGTGGACATCGCAGGAACTTGATTTCAATACAATTGAGACATTTCTAAAAATTGATTGTGTAAGTCGCAATGTTCTTATATTCAACTACATCGATTGCAGAACAAGATCGAGGCCGAAGATAATTCATGCATACAAACAAGATGGCCTTCTGACTCTGCTTCAGCCGCCTCGTTCGGACAACAAAATATGCACTCTTCTATCAACCATCAGCATTTTGGTATCAATATTATATTAAAAGAGAAGACACGGCACATCTTTAAATCACGATTCACTTCTCACATGGCAGAATAATCAATCTTCTACACACAAAAGATGATGACAATCAAAAAGTCTCCGGGGCCGGAGTCGAACCAGCGACCCTCAGATATTCTGATTTCCAATTACAGTCTGATGCTCTAAACCAACTGAGCTACCCAGAGCTTACTTGCTCCAAGAGTAAGGAAGATCCTATGCAAACACATCACCCAGGGACGCGACGGTCGGTCTCATAAAAAGCACCGGTGCCCGTTAATCGTACAGAGAAGGCTCGTTCAAATAATTATCATGATAGATGATAGAAGTCCTTCACTTCTCTTGGGAGAAAGTAGGACTGCGGTTCCATGGAAGATCACTTCACAAAATAAGAAACCTTCTTCTACCGACCTCACGGAGAAGAAATCGGAAACATATGGACCCTCTCTGGCGAAGTCCGAGAAACTGAAACACCTCCAAATGCTTCCTTTCTCCTCCACAATCCGACAAGCGAATCCGGACATCTATCTGGACGTCAAGTAGTAAACCGGAAGGTAACGCTTCGATTCCCCTTCTTCTCCGCCTCGAGCTCTTCTTTCTCTCGTTCTTCTTCACTCATCGCAGCCCACCGTCGCGCGTTCTGGGCATTCTGATAGGAGTAATACAATTTCATGGCGAGGAACAGCAGAACTCCGAGGCCCGAGAAAACGATGTTAATTGTATTACCTCTTTTGAAATCTGTTCGTTCAAATGTCGGCACTGGGTTAATTTCTTGTCCAAAAGAAGAAGACGAGCGACCACCGAAGCTCACCGGGTGCATCATTGTCCTGATATATCTGACTACCCCAAACTAAAAGACACCGGACAATTTGTCAATAAGGGAAGACGCTAATCTATGAGTTGCCGGGCTGACCTCCATAGATATTTGCGGACGCGATAACCATGCCGGATGCAACGGTCTTCTTCCCGATTGTACCCATGTTTTCGTCCATCCACGCAATGTTGAGTGGATGCCATTGGGGATAAGACTGAACAATACAGGCTGCTATATATCTGACAGCGAGAAAGCGTCAGAACCAAGATGTTTTAAGACGGAGAGCGGAGGTTTACTTAACGCCTCGACTTGCGGTGTGTGGTAATGCCCGAAGAAGAATCCATCCAACGAGGAACCAAACCGCTGCCGACATTCTAAGCTTGGAGAAATCTGATCGATCGACGAAATCACGAACCGCTAAAAGTGTTGTGCCAGCCTCGCTCATGTACTCGATCCGAATGCCAGACCAGGAGTACCATGGTGATACACAAGAGTGTATACGGTGGTGCAGTCAAAGCATTTGATACGAACTAAAGAAAGCATGTCAAACCAAAATTGAGATTAATCCTACTATAGAATGATGTACTACTCACGACGTTGAAGCTGAACGACTGAATAACGGTCGGCAAATCTACTCAGCTGCTTGTTTAGAACTGCAAAGTATCAAACACTACAGAATCTCACATGTAGCCAGGGGAATTGTAGGAGTTTGCCCAACCATGGTTACAATAAGGTGCAACCAAAGACCAATATCAGTCAAACTGTCCTTGATATCGGCCCAGGTCACCTTCGTCCTATGGGACCATTATTAACCATAATGAGCAAATAGGCACCAGCAGTCGCACGCACTCGTATTTTCGCTTCGCGATATCATCACGAACGACTCGCGTGACTGAAATCCGCACTTGTCGTTCATCGAACCAGGGCTTGAAACCGCGTATTCCACCCTTCGTAGTAGCAGCATTCTGTGGAAGGTAAAACCTGCGCAAAAACAGAGTATTAAGGACAACTTTAAGTATGAGAAAGCGAGTAGAAACGAACCAAGTAGCAATGGCGACGATAATAGTAAGAATGCCATCGATGATAAAGAGCCACTTCCATCCATACAGTCCATTGATTCCTCGCATCTGGAGAAGACCGCTGTGTGGAGCCTCCATATCAGACAAAAGCGAGAGACTGAAGGAGATATGCACCTTGCCATGAGTCCACTGACAGCACTTGCAATGCTCTGAAAAAGTTGCCTGAGCTTTCCGAGTAAATATAAATCAGTTAGCTTGTATAATTACCTGAACGCCCCAGAACCACGCCAAGCGCGTGGCTAACTCTGTGCTTTTGTAGAAAGCACCCATGTAAACAAGAGTGGAAGGGATTACCCCACCTTCTGTAATGGCAATGACTACAAACACATGAGTAAACTGCGTAACCTACATGGTAAATATACACTTACAGCATCGGACTAGAATGGGGTCGTGAATAAACCTGACTTAAAAAACAACAAACAAGTTACATTTACCTGCCAAGTATCCAGCTTGATTCTCGATAAGTGCATGCGCTAGAGTAACGAGACCCCATGAAAGCATCAAAAACGATATCCCTATGTCAAAAACAATCAGCACATCAAAAAAATTTGTTTAACAACTTGCATCAAACTTACACCGTGAAGGTCCAGCAATTTTCGCGATCACCGCACCAGTAATACACGTCACCGAAAAACACACCGCATTCAACGCAACACCCGTATTCACAACATTAATCGTAAATCCCAAATCCTGAGGTAAGTTATCCGAAATCGCGTTTGAATGATTCGTCCGATCCATATTCAGTACAAACGTCGTCAATAAAAGCCATGTGAACAGTCGTGTATCGAGAATCCTGATGACTTTGCGTTCTTCCTCAGGTGTATAATCAAGGTCGGGCACGTAGAACTGGTTATCATTGTCAAAGCCATAGTTATAGCCAAGCCTGGGTTTATCATCCGAATCCGGGATGGCTTGTTTGACATCGGTTTCGTCTGAGGCGATTTCCTCGCTCTTCCGAAGAGTTGCCTGAGTGGGTAACTCAGCCATCCTTACAGCTTAATGAAATAGTGGGCAGAAGGAAGCCGGGAAGATAAAGCAGCTCCGCGAAAATATTTTCCGGGACATAAATATAGCTCCGTTGGACACGCTCAAAGAGCGCATATGGAGGGGCATAACGAAATAAGGGTGATGTATTGCACCATCCTGGACCACATTTATAATTGTGCTCCAAACCTATGACAGCCGTAGAAAAACGATTGACGAAAATGCGACCCTTAAAAGAAGCATGGCAGAACAGCGCCAGCAGTGAGAGACTGAGTGTAGAAGCTGCAACTATCGTTCACGGGGTTGATAAGAGACATTGAAAGATAACTCGGCAACGATTTCTGCTGTGCAGATCTTCCCTCATTTAGTAATGCAGTATGATAATGCTCGGACTCACACTGGTCCACCCTAAGCATGTACTGAACCCATCACGGGTCGGAGCTGCTGCAGACGATGCAAGGATGACGCATTGGTGCTTTATCTAAGTAGAAATGTTTTAAATGGTGTAGAGTAATTTCTTTCACCCCGTTTGACTTTAGTTATTAGGTCGTAAATCGAAACAGTACACTTCTATTGCCCTTGCTTTCTGCCTCCAACTCCTCCTGTTCACGTTCCGAGTCAGACATCCCCGCGAGACGCCTCGCCCTCCGTGCATTCTGAATCTTGTAATAAACTTTGATAACGAGCCAAAGTAACGTGGCTGCTCCCGCGAAGGCAATATTAATCGTGTTCCCTCGTCTGAAGTCTATGATATCAGGACAAATCAGAGTATTAGTTAATTACCGTCAAGAAGTTGGGAGTCGTAGAAAAGAATGATACTATAAAAAGGAAAGATGTTTAGTCATACGAACCTGGACTATCGTCTGCTCGGTAGATCTGACTAGCCCACGCTATCCAAATATACAGTAAGTAGTTAGCCAAGCGCTTATGAAAAAATATATTCACTCACTTGCATATATGTTTGCAAAGCCAATGACAGCGCCAGATGCGATAGTCCGCTTGCCGACACTGCCCGTGTTCTCAGACATCCAAGCGATGTTCAATGGGTGAGAATAAGGCCAGGATTGGACTACACATGCCGCTAAGTACTTGACGCCTCTACTTGTGCTGCTCGGAAGAGTACGTAGGAGTATCCAGCCAACTAATTGCCATCCGGCTATGCAACAAGGGAATTAAGTTATATCGTATAGAAACGACGATTAGACGACTCTTACCGGAGAAAGCGCCATGCCATCCTCGCTCGCGGACGCGATCAGAATGCCATATCACAACCACCGAGGTTATACACGTCAAGAGATATGGCGGGGCCGTAAGTGCATTTGCAACAAACTGCAACATAGAAGATTCAATTAAGCGGGAAGTTTCACCAGAAAAGGAGGTCGCATAAGGGTAAAAAAGCTATGTACCACGTTGAAGTCGAACGACTTGATTACGGTGGGTAGATCTGCACTCGTTGCTCAGCATGCGTATTTACGCAAGTAAAACATATAAACATACAGGTTTGCAGCGGCGTAGTCGGTGTTAGTCCAATTGATGTCAGAATCAAATGTCCCCAGAGACCAATATCAGTAACAGCGTCTTTTACATCTGGCCAATTTACTGTAGATCTGAGTACAGTCATTTTTTAACGTTGCAATGGTAACGGGATCTATATTTAAGAAAAATACGAACTCATAAATCCTCTTGGCAGGATCATCTCTAACGACTCTCGTAACCGCAATCTGTACTTGTCTCTCGTCAAACCAGGACTTGAATCCTCGGATGCCGCCTTTAGTCCTCGCAGCATTCCGCGGAAGATAGAACCTAGAAGTCTATCTCAATTTTCATTCGAATCAATCAAGTGCAAGAAAGACAAACCATGTCAGAACCGCTACAAAAAGAGTTATAATCCCGTCGACGATGAACAACCACTTCCAGCCTTCAAGACCTGCAACACCACGCAATTGAAGCAGTCCGCTGGAATCATGAATAAATGTGAGCAATTAGTCCTCGTCTGTTATGAAACTATGAGGCGATTCAACCGCACCTAGCCATCAATCCGCTGATAGCACTTGCTATATTCTAAATTGCAACATCAAGAGATAAGAATATCACATCTGACAGCTCAACGACGCAATAATTACTAGTACTAACCTGGACACCCCAGAACCAGGCAAGCCTCGTCGCCAATTCAGTTCCTTTGTAGAAACCACCTAAGTAAACTAAAGTTGCTGGAATTACTCCACCCTCGGTGATGGCAATGACTGAGCCGATATCAGCCGCAGTCGACTAACGAATCTGGTCCAGCAACTCACACGAGCGAACTAAGGGTATCAATAGCAGGTTGGCATCGCGGCCTTGCAACCTTAAACGCATGGAAGGACTCACCGGTTAGATACCCAGACTTGTTTTCTATCAGCGCATGTGCGAGAGTGACGAGTCCCCACGAAAACATAAGAATAGGGATCCCTATGTAAATAAAAGAATAAGTATACACAATGACAATGCACGCTTCCACAATCATCCTCATCCCAATGACATCTTAAAAACGGAACGAAGACACGCACATCGCGACGGTCCAGCAAGCTTCGCAATAACCGCCCCAGACAAACACGCAACAGAAAACAACACAGCATAAATTGCCGTCGCAGTATTCACCACATCAATCGTAAACCCAAGATCCTGAGGCAAGTTATCTGAAATCGCGTTCGAGTTGTTCGTCCGGTCCATATTAAGCACGAATGTCGTCAACAAGATCCACGGAAAGAGACGCGTGTCGAGTATACGGATGACTTTCGCTTCCTCCGCTTTCGTGTATTGTAAGTTGCGAATGAAGAATGGGTTCGCTTCGTCTTGTATATGTCCGTGTGCGCTTGACGCTGAGATGATACCTGTATCGACTCCGCCTTCCAGCTCCGAAGCAAGCTTCGTATCGTCCTCCTCGCTCTTGGCAGCATCTGAAACCCGGATTCGATTCTCCGATGTATCTAGCCCAAGGTTCTCTTGCTCCTTCGACATCCCGAAAGCTTATACTCAAATGATTCCTCGGAAGAAGAGTCGAAGAATCGCCCCAGCAGACGAAGAACTAGAACAAAGCGGTCGAGACGACAGCCTTCCCATAGCTACCCATATTTCAACCCATCTTTATCTTTCCCAGTGCCTCTCCAAAGGATGCCGCTGAGAAATCCCGCAGAAGCGCAAGAAGGCATGCCATAGTATTGCAGATTGCGAAAGATCAGACGAGATTGCACCATCGCTCGGATAAAGCATTGACTGGTAGATATAATTAGCACCATATCGCCCACCGTGTGACGTTCAGCCGCTGTTAGGTTAGCCAAGCTCATGTGAGCACTCAAATAGCGTGTTTCTAGTCATTAGTGAGCAATATTGAGTGAGAGGTGCATTGTGGTCACTAGCGGAGAATAAAGTGTGACCTCGACGCGTCGCGACGCGTTCGCACGTCGATCCCGCTTGAGACTCCGCAATCACATGGTGGGTCATGTCAATACACTTATACAGTGAAGTGTGAACACACACACGTACCACAATTTATGGATGGCTGCTTAGAGTGAAGACCCTTTCCAAAGTAAATGGATACAGATTCAACCTGCAACTCCTGAGATACCACATAATATTCCTGCATTCAATAAACAAGTCAATAGATTTACAATAGATTTACTACTAGCAAGAGTAGATTGTGTTTAAATACAAATATCTTGTATTCTAGTAGTAGTAAATAGTAATGCATGTAACAAACAACTTAAATATGGTTTATTGACACAGCAAACATATTCTCAAATGACAGCTACAAATGACTTATAGATAGTACTCTAATAACATATCCAAGCCCTAACCCTATCCTGTATACTACTATATTACTCATTATACAAATCTGAAGAGACATTGTCTTACTCTATCACAAACACACACATAGCCACAGTCAACCAACCTCAGGCTTGTTAGCAAGCAATCCAAGACAGTCTTATTTTTGCATTTTGTACAATGTATGTAGAAAAAGAGAAATTTTAATTTTGTATAGAGATTCGTGTTCGTATCCTATGCGTATCCTATGAAGACTATGTATATCCAAATCCGAACCCTCCGTAACTTTTTTGCAAGAACGACACGGGTGAAAAAAGAACCAGGAAAAAAAACATAAAACAAAAAAAGAGAGAAACAAGGAAAACGACAGAAAGTGATGAGGAGGGAAGCAGAGAGGGGGGAGGAGTAGGTCCAATCGATTATCAAGGACCTTACGTACAAGGTGTTGAACATTGAACATTGAGCAAGGGAAAAAGGGGGGAAATGAAGTAAGAAAGAAAAACAAAACAAAATGTAAACGAGACATGGGGGGAAGAAAGAAAACACACAAACAAAAAATGAGAAAAAAAAAGACAAACGAAAAATGAAAAAAGAAGTAATATACAAACACAGCATGGACAATATAGACAACAACAGTGAAGCTAACAGTAGTCACAGGCGAGAAAAAAAAGGGAGCTGGGCACTTGGTTGTCTGAGAATACGTGTGTGGGGAGGTAGAAAGCGCAACAGAGGTAATCATGAACACAATTACATTCATACTAGGCATACACTCAAACAAGGAGAACAAGGATGAGGAGAGTAGCAGCAAAAAACCAGACGAGAAGACGAACTCGGGATGAAAAAGGAGGAAGAACCAATACAAGAAATGAGAGACGGGAAATACAACGCGCCTAGCTCTCATCCGAAATAATACTTCCAATACTCAACGGGTTCTTTTTCCCAAGCGCTCCATACGTCTGTTCTGCTGCACCCCCACCACCGCCACCCTGTCGGAGCGGCGCAAGCTGTATCCTATCTGGACTCGCACCTGCTCCCATCCCCGCCACAGCACTCGCACTCCCATTCCCATTCGCCGACGCGCGTTGCGGCGACCCCGCACTAGTCGCAAACGTTCGGCCTTGACTAGAGATACTAGGTACAGGCGGACTTCTCCTTCCCCCATCCTCAGGTCCAGGTCTCACATACCCACCTCCCGCACCTCCCGCCTGCGAAGAACCAGCATACGCATACGGATCACCAGCCCCCGCTCCAGGAGGCGGCGCACCCCACCCCGGCCTCCCATACGCCCCAAACGGACTCGGCGCATACGGACCCCACTGCTGTTGCTGTTGCTGAGCCGGATGTTGTGGTTGTTGGGGCTGTTGCGAATACGCATCTCCTCCCTGCGCATACCCATACGGTGCGTGCTGATGCGGAGGAAGGTAATGTCCCATGTGTCCTTGCGATTGCGTCGAATAAGCACTGGGTACTGAGCCAGATGCTCCGGGAGCACTTTGCGGAGGTGGAGCTGGAGAGGGGTGGTATGGCCTTGCTTGACTAGGTGCAGTTGAAGAAGTTGCAGGCGGTGGACGACCATATGCATAATCCTGCGTAGCATATCCCGTCGGAGGTGGAATCATCCCCGGAGTCGAAGCCGAAGGTGGTGGATACGAATCTTTTCGTCCTTGCTGGGACGCTGCTTGTTGCGACTGACCCGCACTCTGCGCACCAGCACTCCTCGGCGACTCGCCTTGAGGAGACTGCTGCTGTTGGGGAGGCTGCTGTGGCTGCGGCGGCGGATGTACATACTGTCCATGCTGGTCATAATATCCATAAGGCGGCGGCACGCCATAATGCATTGCTGGAGCACCATAGGGCTGTGCACGATGATGGTCATACCCAGGATATGCGCCATAGCCTGGCGCATGAAGATGAGGCGGAGGTGGAGGAACAGGTCCCCAACCATACGCACCTGCGTACATTCCACTAGGATGAGGAGGCGGCGGCATATACGGTGCATGTTGATGCGGTTGCGGTTGCGGTTGCGGCGGATGGTATTCCGGATGTCCGTTTCCTGGTGCCGCTGGTGCCGCCGAAGGAGCAGGTGCAGGATTGAATGCTCGGGGATCGTACGGTGTCGAATCGGGAGCGGGAGCAGGAGGCGGTGGAGCAGCTGTTGGCGGTAAAGACGGGTCAATTGTCCCCCACGTACCACCACTGCTCCCTGCTGCTGGCATTGGCGCTGCCGGAGGCGGAGGCGGCGGACCAGCCTCATTTCTTTGACGCTTTGGATCTCGTGCACCTTCGTCGTCCGACGCATCGCTCGCATCGTCACGCTGCACTGGCTGAAACCAGTTCGGGTCAACGGGACGCTTGCGGATGCGTACGTCCTTCCGAATGCGGATCTTAATGCCCTGGTCAGCAAGTGCACATGATAAGTTGGTCGATTCTGTTCGGATCCACAACAGCATGCATCGTGCAGCGAATGCGGCAAGAAGTCCAACGCAAAACAAAAATACGGAACCCAATCACAATCAGTACCAATCGAATACAATATATAACGGAAAGTAGCGAGAAAGAGTACCTTCCATGCCCGGGAACTTTTTGGCTGTGTAAACGTAAAATGCTGCACTGAAAATGCTTTTACAGTGGTGCACATTTGCACCGATCACTTCAAAGAGGGTGAGCTTCAGTCGGTAAGTCCCCTCTGTCCGCACGCTCAGGTCAGGGAAGACGAAGAAACCAGCATCCCGCCCTTGCCCGCGCTCATCTGGAAAAATGATCGAAATCAGTATAAATCGCACGCCAACATAGAAGAATCAGGTGAAAAAAGAACTATGGCAAGTCAACAAATAACCCAAGACGATCAATAGATGGTGGACGTCAGCGCTCGCGGACATGGAACAGGTGCAAAGGATGAGAAAGCACGGGTAAGTTTAGCAACGTTCCCAAGCTTGGCCGAGAACACACGGTCAACTCGCCAGCAACCCACGAAGAAGACGCGTTCAATCTCCACAACAAAAACCGGGAATCCAGCGTATCCTCTTCTTTTCCACCGTTAAACGCTGGGCACGCTATATGGAAGCATCTCAGGGCCCGGGGACCGCTCCAGGACAGGAAAGTAGCAGACCAAAGGAACGGTACGAGCAAGGGAAAGGAAGAGAAGTCAAATACATACTGTCCGCCTCCGGGTCTTTTAGATGGTACAGACTGCTGACGACGCTGCCCGTCGTACAGCGCGTCTTGCCGTCCTTGAGTAAATGCAGCTCCTCGTCACGATCTGGACTAGCCAGTGATGCGTACATGAAGTAGTACGGATTTTGCAAGAAGGATTGATTGTAGTGGGCACTAGCGGATAAACATCCAGGGAAGGGAAAATCGGGGCGTCAGAATTAGCACAGGTGCGAAGAAAGAAGTCGATGAGGAGGCGGAAATGAAGTATGCACAAAAGTAGCGAAGCGTTGCGAGAGTCAGTTGAAACAAGACAAGAGATCTCCGAATCGTAAGGGTGAAAGGGAGAAGGGAGAAGAGAATGCATATTTCAAGGCACTCACCGGTCATCGGGGGAGCTACTTCGTCGAGAACGGGAGCCTTTGTCAATAACGCGCAGTTGTACGACTGGAGGCGGGTCAATCGGTCTTCGATCGGCTGGATTAATCAACGATAGGATTAGCATCGTCGATCAAAGAAATTAAAAATGAGATTCAGAATGACGGGTTAAAACTCAAAGCATGGATCAGAATGGAGCAAAAATGCTGATAACCGTAAACATTAAAGTAAAAAGTTTCAAGGGAATGGAGAGCAAAGCAACGGCTGCATATCAAGGGTTGTCGGGGTGATATGTAAAGTAAATGCGGAAGTTCACAGGAGAAAGTCGTACCTTTTGTGCCTACACCGCACATTCGAGCCTGCTTCGGCTCTTGGCGTACAATCAGTTCATATTCTCTGTTAGATCCGTTCGAATGTCCGTGGCCGTTTGCCATGTTACGCGGAGAAAGCAAGGGATTTTAGTCGGGCACGTGGGGTAAACGGAGGCGAGCGATCGGAATCCGGCCGGGAGCGAAGTACGGTGTTAGGGTGTAATCAGACGTGGGCGTCACCAAAAAGAAAAGAGGGTAGTGAGTCAGTCCGTCAGCTACACGTTCAAGCAGTACAGAAAGAAGGGGAGTAAGTGCAACGAGGAAGGGGAGAGGGAAGAGCAAGGAGGAATACGTGGAGATAGTCAACGGGAAGAGCAAATGCAGATTCACACGGCGGCGGGACGATGCTGTTGTGAGTCGTTGATGGGGGAAGACGGGATGGAATAGACAGGGCAAGGACGTAGTTAAGAGACGCGCGTTTGTCGCATAGGTGCGCCAGACCCACAATGCTGGGGCTTATCCGCAGGAGCGGCGTGGGTCGATCCGTTAGCTCGGACATGCACATTCACTCGCCAGTGGCAGAGGGGCGGGAAGGGAACACTGAAGCGGAAGCAAGGGAGGTAAGGGAGAGAGAATGAAAGACTAACAGGTCATCACGATTGTAGGATACGGGCATGGGGCTGAGGTTGTCGTCCACGCGTACATGGTCATCGTCCATGACGGTCATCAGGCAAGGTTAGAAAATCAAAGTTAAATCACGGAGTGCCGTAGGCTCGCTCGCCTATCTGGCGGTATTTAACCTATCGATCTCTGTGCGCACGGGCAAACAGCCACGACAACAGGAGTAAATCTGATCTCTCACGCGGGTGCGGCTGGCGAGAGCACGGGGACGAGAGAGCAGTGAGGTGATGGTGATGATGAGTGTGTTAGGCTGAGCTGAGGAGTGTGTGCAGTGTGCTCGGCCTGCGGTGCAGCGTGTTGCTTTAGCTGCTTATTGCACGTGAGAATGACATGCCGTATGCAGCCATCTCATCAAACCTTATCTGCAAATCCACTAACTCGGTGTGCATCCTCTCAACCTAACCTTATCTCCGACCCGACCACCCCCCATATCATCATCTTCCTTCTCTCTCAACTTCCCTTTCTCATTGTCAACCCATATCCAAATTCCTGCCATTCTCAGCATCATTTACACCATCAGTAAGCACACCAAGCAACAAGAAAACAGCGCGCATTTCCAAAACAAAGAGAACATCACTCAAATTGCGCTCATAACAGAAGAACACACACACATAAAAAATTTGACTCCGCGAGCCGCACCAAGACAAGCTCACGGTCGTACAAATACCCGGTCAGCTGCAAGCCCGGCAGCACGCGCTCAACCTTCACTAGCCTCTCACCGGGAGCTTACACACCAAACACAATTCACACCCGATTCCCGCTTCCCTGCCACATTCCTCAATTCATCTCATCCCCCCTTTCTTTTCTCGAACACATCCTCGGATGCCGTCACCGATCCCTCCCAAGTTAAGCCCGAGATTACGCGACAAACCGTGCCTGGCAGCGCATACCTCTGTCTGTACATCCTCCTAACCAGATTGATCCCGAAAGGACGTCACAAATATAGCAAGCATGTCCTCTCATAACTGAATACGATTCAATGCATAGAGGTTCTGCAGTGCACCGCGCGGACTCAATTGCTCGGCATCGGATCGTAGATTGGAAATCTCGAAGAGGCGCGCGTGGAGAAAGGGGGGCGTACTTAGGTACCTTCGTACACAACAAACAATTTGCGCCACTAGTACTAGTACTACTGAACCCTGCCTGTATCCACGACGATCCCCGTTGCTTTTCTTTCGTCTCTCAAAAAGTTAATATTCTCCAGCCTAGTAAACTTTTTTCTTCCCGACACCTCCATACAAATAATTAAACTTTAATTTCTTTCACTTTCCACTCAAAGTTATCCTTCCTTGCTTCCAATCTTGGGTTCCTAGACAGACAGAAAATTTTTACAGACAGAAATCTAAACTCAATTCTGATTCACCACTTTACCTATGCAACATCCCACATCCCACATCACCCCCTCATGTGCATAATCGCATATCGCGTTTATATCAAGAACCCACCCACCTGCCCGAGTTCCGCGATCGCGATCCGACATCATCAATCAATCAATAACACAATACAATACAATACAAATTATATCTACCACATTATAACACAATAAGGTAACTGGAAAGCTCTAAGACACTCCAAAACGATTGCTTCATCAAGCTACTCCGCAGATCATTAACACTTTACTTTGTAGGATGTAGGGTCGCATGGTTGCATGGTATGGATTAATGGATACGTATCCACCTACCGAGCGGATATTGCCCCCGAGAGAGTTCAATCGCGAATTATCCCCGTATCCCTGTCGATCGTTGTAACCATTTCCATCTCTAGCATAACACTTCTTCAACTGCTTCGCCATCAACAGCCCAACAATACTGCTGTTGCGTCAACTTCTACTTCCTCTTCACTACACTTTTCTTGATTATCTGTACTTGATCATCTGTGACTTCTCTCAGTAGAGATCCTCATTTTTTGTGTGTGTATGTATGTAGTCATGTATCAATGTATTAATGATTATGTGTACATATGTTATGTACCTTATTTCTATACTTCCTTATTTTCATATTTCTGTACTTTCATATCCTTTCCTGTTATTAAAGTAAAGCCACAGATAATAAAGTGTTAAGTATATGCAATTCTGTTTTAATTGGAAATTCAGAAGGTCTAGAACATGAACAACAGATATTATGTAATAGAGAAAGTAATAGTTTCAAATTGACTTATTAGCAATTCAACACATTACTATAAAGGAGAATTAGAAAAGAAAGATAGAGAGATTGTAGTCTACTCCTTCATCAAATGGCAGAATATTAGACATTAAATTTATTTGAAAACTAGCCATATATGGACTACAAATTGTGTCTATAACATTCAGAAAAAGTAGGTTGTATGCTACAAATGTGCACATCTATCTATTTTATGGTAGGTATGCAAAAGGAACATTTGTGCCAAAACTGTTCCATGACTGCCATCTGAATCTCAGGGTGCAAAGCTCAGGTGAAAAGCTATAGATTTGGAATGCTGATACCTAAACTGATGATTTACATGCACGTGATTGCTGTGTATGGTCCCTGCCCTGGAGACGGACATACCTTAATATCTGCACTATGCCTCATCTGCTGCTAATCGAATCCCAAGGCACGGACGCAATTAATAATGTGGCCCATATCCTCCGCCATCCGAATACCGATGCGCGAAGCTCCAGCATGTGAGCATCAACCATTATACAACTGGGAAACAGATGGCCATACATACAAATGATTATCTTGCATGTAATAGCAATGCATAATTCTCGGAAGACTGGGAAATAGAGAAGTTTGAGGCATGTTTCCGAGTCCTCCGTCATCCGAATCCTGACGCACGAAGTTCCCACATCGTGAGCGTGAATGATCATACATATAGTAAACGGATAGCCAACAATCTGATTTTTGGTAATTATGTCATTGCAGTGCATAGTTCCTAGAAGACCACATACACTTCCACCGTGACCTTGTCGCGTGCGTCCAAATCTCCTCCACTATCCGAATTCCGATGCACGAAGCTCTGGCTCGTGAGTGTTAATCATAATACATCCGGAAAACAGATAGCTTTACGAACTAGTGATTTACATTTATGTCATTGCAGTGCAGAGGCCCTGGAAGATTTATAGAACAAAAGACGGAGATGGATGCATGTTAACTTCATACCTCACTTGGCGCCATCCGAATACCGATGCACAAATCTTCGGCCCGTAAGCAATCCGTGCAGGAGCCCTTGATTCTGAACGTTTAGGAGACAAACGGCCAGTCCTGCTAAATTTAACGAACTATTTATGGTTTGTATCTCACATTCCCTTTCAAAGCAAGCAATCCATGCACCTCGAACGTACACTTCCACCCTGAAGCACCTGCGGAAAAACAATACTAATATTTACACCAAGATTATCCTCTTTCATCATGACTATTATCCGAATTCCGACGCACAAGGCTCCGGATTGGGAGTGGTATACTTTATGAACTGGGTAATCCAATGGTAGCATAGTGTACACAAGTGATTGTGCCGCACTATGCATGGTTCCCTTTTGATCTTGACCGGATCAAGAAAATCGGAAGCCAAATGATTTACGTTTCATGTATTCAAATAAACCGATCTCTTCGCTACAATAGTAGCACTTCTGCCTATGCTGGACAGATCCGCGGGATAAAAGCAAAGTCAACATGAACGTCAATCTAACATCCTGCCCGCTGTCCGAATTCCGACACGCGGAGCTCCAAATCGAGAGCATGAAACATCTTAAAACCGGGAAACTAATTTCTAGATAAATAAACAATTTCCTTGCGATTACAGGGCATAGTAAATAGTCCCTTTGATTTTGTAGAAATTGAGAAGATTGGAAGTAGGGTGTTCCATTTGTCTGACCGAATTTATGTTATAACAAGCAATTCATACACTATGGATGTACTCTTCTAGTATCTGTACTGTATATGTCCGCGGGACAAGAGCAATATTCATATCAAAATTTCCGAGATAACCGCCACCCGAATCCCGACGCCCAGAGCTCGGAATCGTGAATATGAAACATTATATACGACCGGAAAACCAACTGTTACATTACCATTTACATATAGGACAGTGCATCATGCATGGTCCCCTGATTTTGAAGAAACCAAGAAGACTAGATAACAAAAGGCTTACTTATTCTAAGAACCAGCCAATGTTTTCATATTATTCATGTAAAATGAAGCAATCTATAAGCTGAATATGTACTGCTCTGTCTGAGTTTGCGTCGGAAAGGCCTGCAAGATAAGAATATCATTAATATCCATGTCATAACCATAACGTGTTTGCCGTCCGAATTCCGACGCACGGGGCTTCAAATTGTGTGTATGGAACATGCAGTAGCTAGGGAATCCACTAACTAGTACATGCTGATTTACATGTAATCACGCTGCACGGTACATGACCTTTCCCTGAATTTTAGGAAATTCAGGAAGATTGGAAGGAAAAGAATCCGGATTTTTTATGAACCAGCAGGACATGCAGTTCGTGAAAAAGCAATGTTTACACTACAAATGTGCACCTCTATCTATGTCAGGCACGTCTGCAGGATAAAAGCATTGTTTTTGATAACATTCATGCCAAAATTATAACATGCCCGTCATCCGAACTCCGATGCATGGAACCGTAAATCGTGAGTACGAAACACTTTAATGCCAGGGGAACCGAAATGCTACATCCTGATATACATGTAATCACACTGTGCCTAGCACACTATTAGTTTCAAAGAAATCAAGAAGATTGGAAGACAAAGATTCCGGATTTTCTGTGAACCAACGTTCCATGCAACTAGAAAAAAAAGCAATCTGTATACTCATCATACCAGACATTGCTGTAGGATAGAGGACAAATTGCTTTTGAGGAAATCAAGAAGATCAGAAGACAAAGAATCTAGGGTTTCTATGAAGCAGAGACAACACATGCATTTCACACTACTTGTGAAAAAAGGTCAATTTGTATACTATAGACATATTCTTTAGAAACCACTTATACTATAATAATTTACAAACTGATTAGAGCCATTAAATTCCCTGTTGCATGATATTTCATACCCATACTCTCATTCTAGACCTATGCAAGTTGGGATTCAGATGGCAGGGTGTAAGCATATGTGCCTATTAAATTGTTTCCTGTAAAGGTATGTAGAATAGAAGAGTTGTGTTTGCATGTTACAGACTGCTTTATTCTTCCTCTCCATGTATAGAATGCCTGCTATTCAAATATTAATGCCTACAGCTCTAGCAAGTATGTGTAGTGACATACTTATAGAAACACAACAGCTTTAATTAATGTATAATAGTTCTTGTCCTCCTCCCCTACCCTTCTTTTTATATCTTGTAGAGACAGTATAATTTGCTAGAGGTGAAAAGTAAAGAAGTCAGATGAATTCATTATTCTATACATTCACACAAGTTATACACTAAACACAATTTTTGAAAGACAATAGGCAAAGAGAGTAGAAACAAGAAAACTAAGGAAAAATACTGTACATAACAAAACACAACAAGTCTAGTATTTATATAGCCAGGTTTGAACATATAGTCAACATAAGTATTACTCTTTTGTTTCTGTACACACATTAATAAAAAATCCATTTTCTTTATTTTCACTAGCCTTCTCAATTCCTTTCAAAACCAAACTTGAAGGAGAATGGAAGGGAAGAGGGTACACATATTATACAGTCTGATTACATACAGTTCTGGCAACTAGCTACTAGGTTTCATTTTGTGTAGCATTCCACACTCACTACAAGATCTAGGTTCTAGAGCCCTACCACCCGAATAGAGGAGGCTGTAGCTCTGGAACTGAACGTGAGTATATAACACAGAATACCATGCTCTACAATAGAAAACACAACAGCTTTAATCCAGTTGAATAAGCGAAATAATAATAAGTTAAGAAAAGGTGTAGTAATCAGTGTCACAGTGTAGCTACTGGGTTTCCTGTTACCTTCTATTGTGCCTTTCTTACTAGTGCTCATGACTTCGACTGCCATTCATAGGCTGAGTGGCACTGGAATCGTGAGTCGTGCACCAGTCAACAACTGGAAGCTACAGTAGTCACTGAGTACATAGTTCCTCTCTGCCTTTCCTCCCCCACCCTTTTATATATCTATTGGAGAAACCGAGAAGGTTGAAAGAGTTGAAGTACAAATAAGTTAGATTTAGTTATACATTACAAGCATGCTCTTAGGATCCATCAACCAGGTTAACTCATCAATTCATTCATTCACACTTGCTATACACTAAACACACACACAAAAAGGAAGGCAAAGAAACAAAAAGGTGAACGAAAACAAAGACAGTACCAACACAACGCAACACCAAGCCGAGTCAATAGATAAAAAGAAAGTCTTCTTGAATTCAGGACAAAGAGGAAAGTCAAGAGCCAAAAGACGCGCTCAAGATTAGAGTCGCGTTGAGGACTCAAAATCGTAAATACTGTAGGTGTAGGGTTTCAAGGCTTTCTCTAATCAACTAACCAACCCACCAACCGGCCGACATAGTCCGAACGCCGCGAATGGATGGTCGAGGGATAACAAAAACCAGTGTTTACGACTTCGCATACGCCTCCTACAAACCCAAAAATAATCACACATGAGCACCCATCCACGCATCCAAGTATCAAAACAAAAACAAAAACAAAGACGCACCTTAATCTCCCTCTCAAACCTCTCCGCAACCTTCTTCCTCTGTACCTTCTGCGCAGCAGTCACAAGCCCACTCTCCGGAGTCCACTCCTCCGGCGTCAACACAACATTCTGTAACAACTCCATAGGCTTAAACCCATTCTTCTTCCCAGCATCGTTACACGCTTTGAGTACCATCTTCTGTACACTTTCGTCTTCACATAAATCGTGTAAGGATTTACTGGATGATTGATCTTGGTTGGGAAAGGCTTGGCGTAAGTGTACCTCGTGGGGTATGATGATTGCGATGGGACGTGAAGCGTCGGGTGTGGCGTGTACGCAGATGTTGGAGACGAGGTTGCAGGATTTGTAGATCGATTCGAGACGTTCGAGGGCGATATACTACAAAAAAACACGCAAAATAATTAAGTATCAATTAATCAATAATAATTTGTACGGCCATATTAAAGAAACTCACCTCGCCACCTTGAAGCTTAATCAAGTTCTTTATCCTATCAATCAAACTAAGCGTCCCATCCTTATTCCAAGTCCCAACGTCCCCAGTCCTCAACCACCCATCCTTCGTAAATATCGTCTCGTCATTATTAAGGTCATCGCGCTTATAATATCCCTTAATAACCGACGGACCCCTCAATAATACTTCACCCTGTGGTTGTTTGTTCGTCGAGAAGTAGCCTGCTTCTGGTACGTCGAGTAACTTAATCTCGACTGATGGTACGGGAGCACCGACAGAACCGTATTGCATGAACTCTGGTGGGAGGATGGCGCACATGCCGCAGGACTCGGTCATACCGTAGCCTGAACAGTTATTTCAGTATGCTGGAGGAAATAGAATAGGATCGAATATGTATATGCGCACCTTGCAACATGGTAACAAGTGCAAGTGTCAAAAACTCCTGCGTCTCCTTACTCAACGCAGCACCTCCACTCATCGCAAGTCTCAACCGTCCTCCCGTCTGCTGCCTAACAGCACTCAACACAGCCGCGTCCACAATCTGCTTCAACGCAGGTATGTTCGCTTTCTTCACCGCAATCGCTCCCTGGAAGACATTCTTCTTGAGCGTACCGGAGGTGTTAACCTTGCTAAGTATACCCTTTCGGATCGTCTCCCACACTGCAGGAACGCCAACCATGATTGTTGGCTTGAAAGCTCGGAGATCACCTGGGCATTTGCGCACTGACGCGTCTGTGAGCGTCTTCACGCGTCCGTATCCGATGGTCATTCCCACGAAGTACAACGCAAGCTCGACGATATATTCCAGGATGTGCGCAAGCGGGAGGTAAGCCAGGAACGTGTCGTCTAGACTAAGATGGTGGCCAAGCAATTCGAATACGGCGCCGACCGACGCAATGAGATTGCTGTGGGTAATGACAACACCCTTCGGCGCACCCGTCGTACCACTCGTGTACATAATGCACGCGACATCATCCGGCGCGGCAGTGGCGGCACCGTCCAAGGTCTTGCCCTTGCCAAGCTGGCGAAGCTCGTCAAAGCTATACAAGCGAAGTCCCTCACGCTTGGACCTAAGCTCGTCGAGCAGTTTCGCTGATGGCTCGCCATCGTAGATAATCACCTTGACAGAAGGAACGTTCTCCAGCACACGAGCAACTGTAGGGAGGAGTTCGGCATTGGTGAAGATACCAACGCACTCTGGCTCGTTTAGCGAATGCTGTAAGCCTGCTTCACCGAGGGTGTCGTATGCTGTGGCGACAGTAGCAGCAATGTACATGCATCCATGTGAAATGAACTGCCAGGGCAGACTAGAGTGAAGACGTCAGAAATCGTATACACGCGGCACCAAGACAGATCAAAATCAATTTCTCGATCAATAAGAAGTGATAGAGAAAACTTGGCCGAAGTCAGCTGTCCAAGTGCAAAATGAAATGAATTGGCAATAAAGCGTGAGCCCAGACAAGGACACTTCGGAGGCACCTGACGTCAGACAGTGCGACGCGAGCTCGAAGAAGCCGAGCGGAAGGAAGCACAGAAAGAAAAGAGTCGTGTATGTGGAAGAGAAAGTAAACGAACCTTGTCTGAGCATAGACGTTGAACACGTCACCCTTCTTAACGCCAAGCTCATTCAATCCAGCAGCAACCTCCGTGGCAGCATCTTTGACCTCAATATAATTGAGGTACTTATAATCGCTGAGCTCGAAATACTTCCACTTCTTGACCTCGGTGACCTCCTTTCCACCCACCGTCTTCTTGACCTCTTTCTCCTCTTCATGAATGTCAATGATCTCACGCCAACCAACCGCGTTCTTCGTGCCGTGAGTGCGCGCAGTGTAAGCGAGGATGTCAGGGACGGTAGTGACACCCTCAAGCGGCTGCGTTACGAGCGCTTTTGCATGGAGCGCATTACGCCGGGTTGGAGTCTCGCCTTCCTTGGAGCCTTCCTCAACAACGACAGAGGCGACCTTTACGCCGTCAACGACCGGCCACTTTGGAAAGGGTTTACTCATTGTTGGAGACGAGTTGGGAGGAGAAGGGGTGAAGGGAAAGGCGAGTGAAGTGGGGCAGACTTGCAGGCGGACGCGTATTTGGCAGAGGACGCGTCGGCGCTTGCCGAGTGCAATGTATCCCCACTCGCTGCACTGCACACGTCACCTGCCGCTCTATTCAGCCTCGACCACTTTCTTAGTCCATGTTGTTCCTGTCATCCAAGATGCTTCCTGTACAGCATTTCTCTAGGCAGCGGCAATTGGTCCGAGCCCCGCCTCGCGCAGTTCAATTTCAAATAACATCGTCCTGCCAAGTCGCCCTATCTCAGCTTTAGGCTGTAACCTTCAGTACTGCAATTGGCTTCATCTCGAGAATTCAGTACTGGCATTCTTATTAAATTCGATAATATTAATGCAATGAATCCTCCCCGAACACGAGCGCTCTTGTAATTAAATACGATTAAATAGCTTCCAGTGACTTCATACTGGAGAAAGCACCGAGTCGCCGAATGAAGTTTATTTCCCCAACGATCTGACAGTTCTGACCGAATCATACGGCAGTTTGAGTTTACACTGTTGACCTGGCCTGGCCCGTCGGCCATCTAACACTCAATTACGTCATCTATATCCAGTGTACACAATTTATATTTATAATAATACATATGTGCTACTACGCTCTTGCACTCTGATATTAATAACCTCTCCACTGCAAAGTACATCAGATAGACATTAGAAGGGGGCAAGCTAATGATCCAGGTACTACATATCCTTATCAAGTTGTATTACTTTGCTCTTTGCCATGTATGTTATTTTTCAGTCAATGAGAAGTTACATGAACTTCATCAGCCATGTTGTCCAGCCAAAACCAAATGACCAGTATTACAGATCAGAAAGTCCATCCTCATCACACCAAAAGATCAAGACCTGACTCACTCAATACACTATTCACAATCACATTGTGTACAGGCAATCTGACTTTATTTGTTAGAACTGAACATAAGGTCTTGAACAGATAGTATAATTTTATACAATAGCAGTAATAGTACAATACACTAGTAAGGGTGTATTCAAATTTCATTGTTAGGCATTTATTAAATTCATCTTCAATTTTCACTCAGGTGGGAATTCAATTTTGACATTATCATTTCTAACTTCTTCAGGAGGTTCAAGCAACACACCCATCTCTTTCTCTAATCTCTTTATACTTGTTTTTAAATATTCCCTGTTCAGTTCGAATCTACGTGCACGAGGCTTCCTATCGCCAGGAAGGCTAAAATGTCCACGTGTTATCTTTCCATTCTCCTTCATAGATTCATCTATAATGAATTTTTTGAAGGCTGGATTAATAGCAATAACAGGTCTTCTTATAGCGACGAAAAAGAAGGCACGAGACATTGGGAAATCCTTGTGATAATGTAGGTAATGAATCACTACTGCTAGAGATCGAGACTCGCCAGCATTACAGTGGATGAGGATCATGTTATTGCCTTTATTCCCTTCACTGATAAATTGACAAGCTTCGTCGAATATATCAGCAATCTTTGCATCAGCTTCGTCCTCAAGTTCCATTTTCTTCACATTGATTTCAGGAGACAAGTCGTCTTCCGAGTCCTTTCCTATACTAAGAACATGTGTAATATGGTTTTGGAGGAGGAAGGGCTTGCAGGCGGCTCTGTATGAGCCTACGAAGATTCTATATGCAATGTAGTTGATGTCGTAAAGGGGGGACAAGCTGAGTTTGTGGTTGGTACATGTTATTGCTTGTCTGCTGGGTGATTCGGACTTTGATTTTTCAGCGTGATGAGGATGGGCTTTTTTTTCTGTAGTGCTGCTTGTTTGGTTATGTTTGGACAGCATAACTAATGAATGTTATGTAAAGACACAATCAGTCATTGATGGATATAAAACATAAATGTGGCGAAGAGCAAAGTGAAAGTACTTGTTAGTTGTCACCACTTAAGTTAGACCATTGGATATAATTACTTGCATATACATTGATTTAGCTGACATAATTGAGTATTAGATGATTGCTGGGTAAGAGGTGTAAAAGATTTGGACAGACAGGTCCTTGGGGAAATAAGCTTGATACAGTATCCCTACTGCCCCAGGATCTATTGGAACCTATTAATTGTATCTATTACAAGAGCACTCGTGTGGAGAGTTAGTTACATCAAATTTATAGAATTTACTAACTAAGAATGCCAGTACTGAATTTTTTCGAGATGAAGCCGACTGTAGTGTGATTAGGAATAACCTTTCAATCACAATCTGTCTTGAGAGGTAGTCCGACTCATCCATCTGTCTCAACACTCTGTGCATGGACAAGGACCTGAGTTTCACTTATACATCCTTCATACGACAAGTACATAAAGAAAGAGTCGATTCTTTGGAATTTCAGAACAATAGAGGCTATGACGAATTTTGTGTAAGGAATGAAGAAAGTGGTGGGTGAGTGACGACCGAAAATGGAGTGGTACCTGCCTGACTAGGCAAGTTTGAAAGTGGAGAATCTGACTGTTTTGGGTTATTTGGTGGCGTATCGCGAGTTGAAGTCGCGAGAAGATGTGAGCATAGGTGTTCGTCTCATATTGAGACGCGCCATCACTCACATTCATATGCGTGTGTTTCGCCTTCGTTCACACACTTCGTTTCAGAGCGAATATCTTGTAATTTATCATACAATATTTTAATTTGATGGACGTTAAATGGTGGAGGAGACAATAGACTCGCCACAGGCAACAGCCATTCAGCGAATGTGGTGTGGAGAGTGGAGGGAGAGAGGGAGGAAGACGGACGAACACCAACGAAAAGGTCAAGTCGCGTCAAGAACTCACCCACCCGTTTGCTCCGGCGGTACAAGAAACACACGCAACAAAAAAGGGGGGGTAATGCCGAGAGTCAAATAACACAGGGACAGATTACTAGAGACAGGTCAGGACGACAACGGCAGACACGCAATAAATTTCTCGCAATAATAATAATAATATGTATGTAGGGGGTCAGAGCTCTCTCTCGTCTCCCTCATCTTACTCCAAACACCCCAAGAACCTGCCTTATCCGGCTGCCCACCCGCCAGCGAGCACTCCCCCACCTCCCCAGCGCGCTCTCCATACTTTACAGTCTAGGTGAAGTAGCCCAGAGGGTAGAGAGAGAAGAGAGGATGGCGCAGGTGTACGAGGTACCCGACGACGACGTCGAGCTCGTCGACCACCCGCCCGCGTCGTCGTCCGACGAGAAGAACGACGACAGCGGAAAGGACCAATCATCCCAGGGTTCAGCTTCTCCAACGCACCCTTCCTCTCCTCTCAGTACTCACTCAAATGCTAATAATTCTATTAAAAACGATGTGATGCATGTGGATGGGGGTGAAGTGACTGCGACGACGGGGGATGAGCCGTCGCGCAGCAGGGGAAGAGGGGCCGGGGAGGACGTGAAAATGGAGGAGACGGGCAGTGAAACGGGACTAGAGGACGAGAAGAATGAATTGATGACCCGGTTGCCTATTTTGGACAACTCCGCTGCTCTTCTTCCTCCTCCTCCTCCTCCCGACTCAAATGCAAATGGTGTCTCTTCCTCGTCGTCAGCTGCTGGTGACGTTAAGCGACGACCGTCGTCATCGCCATCCCTCAATGGCGACGCTGCTCCCGCCGCCGCTGTCCCTGGCGCTGCAGCTGCCGACGAAAAGTCGAAAAAGCCAGCTTCGACGGCCGTAAAAGCCAAGTCGGCCAAACGACGTTCACCCTCGCATGAACCCCCTCCACCACCACCCCGGCGCGCAGAAACAATCCGACTCGAGATCTCGCTAGGCGGTCCAGAGAACTACGCCGTCGATATCCTACAGCTATCAAAGGACACAGGCCAGCGTCCGCCAACCCCACCTCCACCGTCCAAGCAAGACACAAGTGAAAGCGAAGGCGAAGGAGGCGACGACGAATCCCGCAGAGATGTCGGTATCGGTAAGGGTAAAGGGCGAGGGAAAGCAGGCCGCAAGAGCGCTGCTGCAGAGTACTACGACCTTAACGACCCGTTCATCGACGATTCCGAGCTCGCACTCGACGAACGCACGTACTTCGCTCAGACGAAACAAACAGGGTTCTACGTCTCCTCTGGTGAAGTCGCACTTCTGAAGGACAAATCGCGCGACAAGGAATCTCGTGAACGAGGTACCTCTCCAGCAAGGAAGCCGAGGAGCAAGAGAAATATCGTTCCAACAATCATACCGCTCGCCGGTACTCAAGCTGTCAACGCTGCTGTCACGTCGAGCACAGGTCTCTCAACAGTTTCTGCACCCCCGCCTTCCAAATCTGCGACTACGTCCCCGATAGAACCATCCACCGCGCATTTGTCTGTTCCAGGCGGACAGGGCACGCGCGAGACTCCGATCACACTCTCCGACACAGAAGACAACAAACCCTCAATCTCAACCGTCCATCCCCTAGACACCTCCATCTCCATCTCAGCTAACGGGATAGCCTCACCAACCGACGGCGACGGCGGAATAGGTGGAGGTCCCAGCGCAGCACTCAAACGCAAAGCAAGCGAAACCACCCCGTCCGGTAAAAAGAAACGCAAGACAATCGACATCGACTCCTTCCACCCCGACCTCCAAACCTCTCTCTACGAACTCAAAGACGCCATCACACGCGAATCCTTCGACCAAAAGGGTAAATTTCCTCCCTCCCTCAAACCTGTCCTCGCGCGCGTAGCGCTTAAAGCTATCCATGTGGGGGAGTATAATGATATGTTCTTCGCGCTCATGCCGAAGTTGTTTATTTATAATAAGTATACGATGACGAAGTTGATTAAGCGGACGGTTTATCCTGAGCATAAGAAGTTGTTGGAGGCGAGGCAGGATGAGCTTGTTGAGGAGTTGGGAAAGTTGGCGCAGGAGGGTTTCGAGAAAGCGAAGGAGGAGTATGAGAAGAGTGTTTCTGCGTGGGGTGAGTCCTGTCTCCCTTACACTTTATTCATGAATTCATTTCTAACATGTTTCCTTTTTCGTTTAGAACGAAGACAAGAACGAACCAAAGCAGGCGGAACCTCCCTAGAAGGAACACCCGTACCCGGTGCTGGTACCTCCACACCAAGCATGAACGGCGGGACGCTTCCTCCTCCAGGTACCGACACCGGTGCAGATAGCGGGATGGAGGTCGACGGTGCACCACCTCCTACCCAAGGAGGAGAGAAGGAACAAGATGGGGAGAAGGAACAAGGAGAGAAAGAGAGAGTACATTCAAGTCAGCATATGCCGATTCAGCGGTTCCGGCTTACGGAGCGGATGAGGAATATTATTTGGGAGTTGGTGTGGCTGAGTAACGAGGGTGTGAGGATTGAGAATGAGAAGAAGTGCGTTGATTTTTTCATTCTTTTTTCCCTTGAGTTGTTCGAGATACTAATCGCTTTCCTTCCTTTCCCCTACCCCCATTTTGACTTGATTAGTACCCTGGAGAACTCGACGGTCCAAGTGAGCGAACAAGGAGCGCGTAAGGTGTTATACCAGAAGATCGTCAGTGCGTTTCCGGATGGGTGGATGTCGTCGGGGCAGATTTCACGAGAAGGTGCGTCTGTTCAGTGTTCATATACTCTAACCAACGAATTAACAATATATGCATTCTTAAGTGAGCGTGATGAAGAAACGATACGAGGCACAGCAGGCGGAGGGTATCTCATGAGACCTACCTCGCTCACCCAATCACTTCCGGGCTGGCTCGATGACTTTGAACTTTGATTCTGTAAGTTTCTAATGTGTTCTTGGGACTTATACCTGTTGTACTTCTGTAGTGCCTCGCTTCTGTGCGCTGCGACTTTTCTCGTCGGTCGTAGCCTTTCTTCGCCCCTTACCAAGTCTTCTCCGCCTCGACTCGCCCTGCCCTTCGTACATTCTCGTTCCCGTTGTACCACTCAGCTCAATACTGTCACGTGCCCGGTTATACTTAATTATTCGTTATTTTTTGTCCTTTCTATACTTCTCGTAATGTAACTGACTCTGACTTTTTCGGTTTCGTTTTTGTTATTATTAATGTTTTTTTTGTTAATTTTATTCGTTTCCCTTTTTCTTGCCTTTTTTGTCCCTTCTTTTTTTGTTTGCCTGTTTATGGAGAGGGTGTATTGCAGGAGAGGGGTTCATAAACGTCTGTCTTTTGATGCATCTGGTCCAACATGTATGGTGTGTTGGCTGGGACGTACAGATTCTTTGCTTTCTGTGAGAGATGGTTTTTTGTTCGTTTGACTTTTCTTTTAGAGAGAGTGTATGTTACGTATTAATGTACTGTACAGTTATTAACGGTATGTCTCTGCTTCTGCCTCAGTTATTTAAATGCAAGAGAAACATTGAAAACAACAGTTTCATACTTATCATTGACTACACCGTGACAGTACTAATAAAAGCAGATTATTACTCTGATTCATCACCTTCCTTACAGATAGACACCTTCCCTCCAACGTCTTTATCCTTCCATTTTCGATTCCCAGAGCTAGTTTGGGACCTTCTGTAGTTACGTTTTTCTGTAGCTGTGTTACCTTTCTCAACCCATGTGCCCATGCCTGTGTGTGTGTAGTCTGAATCTGAGTCTGAGTTGTAGGATTGGTCTTGGTTCCTTGTGGAGGATGAGTTGTGCTTGTTGCTGGTGTTGCTGTTGTTGTTGTCTTGTGGGTTACTCATAATGTCAATTGTTGATGATTGCTGCATCAGGAAAAAGTCTAAATTCTTGTATTACCTTATAATGGTATAAAATAAGTGAAAAAAGTAAAAAAAGTAAAAACACTTAGAACGGATCTCAGTTTCTGAGAAAGTGATACAAGACATTATAAAGTCTGGAAGGTTTGTGTATTTTGTAAACATAAATAAGAGTTATTCTCCTTGACAATATATAAAATGTATTACAATGGATCTCTAAAATTACAAGGTTAAATCACCCTTGTTGAGTATGGCAAATATTATAATCGTTTATAAAGCTCTTAAATTGTTTTAATATCTTTCCAATAGTCATTTTTCCTTACATCCGTTTGTTATTGAAATAACAGTTTATAATTATATTGAAACATTATATAAATACATTATATCTACAACAATTAGGGGTGAGACAGTTTGTGAGATTGATTGGCTAAGAGTGTGGGCGTGAGCATTGTCAGTGTGAGTGGGTAACTGGATTGAGGAGATGGATGAACCG